ACATTTACGGACGAAAATAATTTTAAAATGATCTTCCTCTTGCTTAAATCCAATTAATTAAAAGTTTCACATTTTCTTACCTTTATTACCACCTGTACAGGTAAATACTGAAGCAACTTTAGAATTGAAAACATTAATATAAACTAGAGACAACAACAAACAATTTTCACATAACTTTTTTTCACATATAACAAATATTTTCCAAGTTATGCACATTTGAAAAATCAAGTAAATTAAAATAAATTTCAATAATTAATTCAGCAGTGGTGTCTGTTTACATAGAAATCAATGTAGCAGCCTAAGGGTTAATATGTTGTAATACTTTGTGGTCAATTTCTAAATTTCATTTATCAATATCCAGTAGGAGATATTGATATCTGATGATAATACTGAAAGTCAAAATTGTTTTTTTCATTAAAGAGTATAAGTAATTTGTCAGTCATTGTCGCCTTTATTCCTTTGATTTTAAACAACATCACTTGATAAACAACGTTGTAGAGCAGTACAGAATAGCAGTGTGTTAAAATATACAGTATACCAGGACATTGAGGGCAAATTTATCATCATTAAACCACATAATTAACATAGTTATCAGATGTGAAGGGCGGTTGAATAATGGGTGAATATGGGTTTTACTGGCATAGGTCGAAAGTTGGACTGGGTGAACATTTTCTGGTATAAAGTGTTACAATATTGGCTGAAGTATTGCAATATTAACCCCTTCACCCCCAGGTAACTTTACTAGACTCTACCATAGCTCTATCTGGATGAGTCCATTGTGGTCCACAGTGGTGAAAGGGTTAATGTATACACAACCCTGCTATATAAATGTTTTAGGTATTTAGAGACCTCTGACTCTGTAATCCAGATGTCTAGTCAAGTGTCGCTAATTCTGCCCAAGACAGAGATCTGCCTGCTTCAGAGAACTGTTAATTTCTCTGATTGTGCTCTAGACAATATTAAGAGACTATGTGTACCTTTAGTATACACATTGCTTACAGAAATAAACAGGAAAAAAGCCCACTGGAAACATCAGTAAAAGCTTAACTTTACAGAAGAATTTGATTTTTTTTTATCATGATCTGCAGTTAATGATTGAATTCTTGATTATGCATTAATTTGCTATAGAAAAAGATGAAAGACTATATGATAAAAAGGCAGCTGTTTTGCTGCCTGTAAGAAGTGAACCTTGTTTTTTGTGGCTTTTGCCTGAAGCCCCCCTCCTAATCAATAGACTTGACGCTGATTATAAAGCTAAATGATGGTGTATTCCATGTCAAGCCTCTCCACAGGGGATCAGCAACACTCTACAGGGTTTAGTGGAGTTACATGGTGTTACGGCTCAAACATTGCCTATCTATTTTTTATATAGAATGGGAGGAGGTAAAATTGGTGTGCTGGACAGAAGTCATAATTGATATGGGGGTAAGTGGTTGGTGGGGGGATGGTAAAGGTTAGGAAGGGGAGGAGAGGATTAAATATAATGACTGATTGTGGGGTCGGTGCTGAGGTGTGAGGGCAGGGATATGTAGAGATCTAGATAGGGATAATGGTGCTTATAGTTTGGACATTAGGGTTGGTGTGAGGCAGTGTTGTTGAGGTGTGAGGGCAGGGAGGGTAGAGATCTAGATAGGGATAATGATGGTTATAGTTTGGACATTAGGGTTGGTGTGAGGCCGTGTTGTTGAGGTGTGAGGGCAGGGAGGGTAGAGATCTAGATAGGGATAATGATGGTTATAGTTTGGACATAAGGGTTGGTTTGAGGCAGTGTTGTTGAGGTGTGAGGGCGGGGATTGGTAGAGATCTAGATAGGGATAATGGTGGTTATAGTTTGGACATTAGGGTTGGTGTGAGGCAGTGTTGTTGAGGTGTGAGGGCGGGGATTGGTAGAGATCTAGATAGGGATAATTGTGGTCATAGTTTGGACATTAGGGTTGGTGTGAAGCAGTGTTGTTGAGGTGTGAGGGTGGGGATGGGTAGAGATCTAGATAGGGATAATGGTACGTGGTTATAGTTTGGACATAAGGGTTGGTGTGAGGCAGTGTTGTTGAAGTGTGAGGGCGGGGATGGGTAGAGATCTTGATAGGGATAATGGTGGATATATTTTGGACATTAGGGTTGGTGTGAGGCAGTGTTGCTGAGGTTTGAGGGCGGGGATTGGTAGAGATCTAGATAGGGATAATGGTGGTTATAGTTTGGACATTAGGGTTGGTGTGAGGCAGTGTTGCTGAGGTTTGAGGGCGGGGATTGGTAGAGATCTAGATAGGGATAATTGTGGTCATAGTTTGGACATTAGGGTTGGTGTGAAGCAGTGTTGTTGAGGTGTGAGGGTGGGGATGGGTAGAGATCTAGATAGGGATAATGGTTCGTGGTTATAGTTTGGACATAAGGGTTGGTGTGGGGCAGTGTTGTTGAAGTGTGAGGGCGGGGATGGGTAGAGATCTTGATAGGGATGATGGTGGATATAGTTTGGACATTAGGGTTGGTGTGAGGCAGTGTTGTTGAGGTGGGAGGGCGGGGATGGGTAGAGATCTTGATAGGGATGATGGTGGATATAGTTTGGACATTAGGGTTGGTGTGAGGCGGTGTTGTTGAGGTGTGAGGGCGGGGATGGGTAGAGAGCTTGATAGGGATAATGGTGGATATAGTTTGGACATTAGGGGTGGTGTGAGGCAGTGTTGTTGAGGTGTGGGGGCGGGGATGGGTAGAGATCTTGATAGGGATAATGGGGGTTATAGTTTGGACATAAGGGTTGGTGTGAGGCAGTGCTGTTGAGGTGTGGGGGCGCGGATTGGTAGAGATCTAGATAGGGATAATGGTGGTTATAGTTTGGACATAAGGGCTGGTGTGAGGCAGTGTTGTTGAGGTGTGGGGGCGGGGATTGGTAGAGGTCTAGATAGGGATAATGGTGGTTATAGTTTGGACATTAGGGTTGGTGTGAGGCCGTGTTGTTGAGGTGTGAGGGCAGGGAGGGTAGAGATCTAGATAGGGATAATGATGGTTATAGTTTGGACATTAGGGTTGGTGTGAGGCCGTGTTGTTGAGGTGTGAGGACAGGGAGGGTAGAGATCTAGATAGGGATAATGATGGTTATAGTTTGGACATTAGGGTTGGTGTGAGGCCGTGTTGTTGAGGTGTGAGGGCAGGGAGGGTAGAGATCTAGATAGGGATAATGATGGTTATAGTTTGGACATAAGGGTTGGTTTGAGGCAGTGTTGTTGAGGTGTGAGGGCGGGGATTGGTAGAGATCTTGATAGGGATAATGGTGGATATATTTTGGACATTAGGGTTGGTGTGAGGCAGTGTTGCTGAGGTGTGAGGGCGGGGATTGGTAGAGATCTTGATAGGGATAATGGTGGATATATTTTGGACATTAGGGTTGGTGTGAGGCAGTGTTGCTGAGGTGTGAGGGCGGGGATTGGTAGAGATCTTGATAGGGATAATGGTGGATATAGTTTGGACATTAGGGTTGGTGTGAGGCAGTGTTGTTGAGGTGTGAGGGCGGGGATGGGTAGAGATCTTGATAGGGATAATGGTGGTTATAGTTTGGACATAAGGGTTGGTGTGAGGCAGTGTTGTTGAGGTGTGGGGGCGGGGATTGGTAGAGATCTAGATAGGGATAATGGTGGATATAGTTTGGACATTAGGGTTGATGTGAGGCAGTGTTGCTGAAGTTTGAGGGTGGGGATTGGTAGAGATCTAGATAGGGATAATGGTGGATATAGTTTGGACATTAGGGTTGGTGTGAGGCAGTGTTGCTGAGGTTTGAGGGCGGGGATTGGTAGAGATCTAGATAGGGATAATGGTGGTTATAGTTTAGACATTAGGTTTGGTGTGAGGCAGTGTTGCTGAGGTGGGAGGGCGGGGATGGGTAGATATCTAGATAGGGATACTGGTGGATATAGTTTGGACATTAGGGTTGATGTGAGGCAGTGTTTTTTTTTTTTTTTTTTTTTTTTTCAACATATTTATTTCTTTTTTTTCCCACATGTTATTTTACAAAAGACAGTACAAAAATACAACTTGCATACACTCTTTCTCTCGTACTTTGGATATTTAAGTATAGCTTTCGAATTCCCCTCCGAGAGGTGCATTACACATGTAGTACCTGTGTATTTGTGACCTTAGCGGTCTGGAGTTGGAATGGATTATTCAAAATTGGATAATGCACCTCTCGGGCGGCAATCGAATTAGGTACAAGTTATAGGTGCATATGTGAATAATACATAATATTTGGTAGATAAGCTATGGTATCATTAAGTTAGAAAAGAGTCTCCATTTTTGGAGAAAGGTATTTTGTTTCCCTTTACATGTTGCGATATATTTTTCCACTCTATAATTGTACACTATATCTCTCTTAACACTTTCTATGAAAAGTGTATCACCTTTCATACGTTGTTTGTAAATGTAAAATTTAACAATAAGCATAATAAGGTTCTGCACATAATATGTTTTACCTATTTTCCCAAATATAATATCTTGTTTTGCAAAGTTAATGTAAACAGAGGTTTTTGAGAATATCCAGTTTTCAAGAAGTAGCCAAAGCCTATCTACATGCTCACATTCAAAAAATAAGTGTAGTAAAGTTTCTTCAGATTGTTTGCAGAATGTACAAAGTGGATTATTTTTTATTGATGTGAGGCAGTGTTGTTGAGGTGTGAGGGCAGGGTTGGTTCTAGGAGGAGAAAGGGATGGAATGATTGCATTAAGATGGGAGGCATAATGTGGAATGGTGATATACTGATGAAGGGTTAAGGTAGGGAAAGGGATTGAAAGAGCTGAGTTAGGGATGGATATTTACATTGTAGGGTCAAAACCATGCAACAATTAAAAACACGAAAGACACGAACTTCAGGTTGAATTTAATGATTTGTTATTTGTGCCAACCAAACTCCATAACAAAGTCTTGATTTAAAGATTCTCATTTTTTTTTTCAATGCTTCTAAAATTTGTTGCACTGAAAAGCACACATTAAACTTGAACCCTTTTCAATGTTGTAGGAAATTGGGGACCTGAAAAAGCTCACCCAGATTGACGTCTCAGAAAACCAGCTTGACTACCTACCTGAAGAAATCGAGGGTCTTTGTAATCTTACTGACCTCGCACTGTCGCAGAACAATCTGGAATCACTTCCCGAGGGCATAGGTAATAATGACCTATAGTAAAGACTGATCTTGCAATGTCACATGATAATCTTCATAACCTCCATATGCATCTTATCAATTGAACCGTCTTTGTTCATATTTTTGTGGAGATCAAAATTATAAATATGGTGCACTTTAGGATAATGGCTGCAGTCTTGAATTCCTTTGGGTCTACTTTGTTCCTGTTCTATGAGAAAGATACATAAAAGTACCGAAATTTTACTTTATACACAAACAATGCACATATTAAATGTATCGCAACGTTTCAAGACCGACTGGTCCCTTTGTCAAGCTATGACTGAGTGAGTGATTTGTATTGTTTACCTGTATAGCGATGTGACGAATTGTATATTTCATATGTCGCTCGACGCAAGACATTTATTATACAAAGATAGAATTTCGTCACATTGGTCAACTTTTTTCTCATGTTTGTTGTGTGATTTCAGGTAGCCTAAAGAAACTGTCCATCCTCAAGGCTGATCAGAACCGTCTACTGGTGCTCACACCCCAGATTGGAAAGTATGCCCTATCACACTTGATGCTTCATTTTGTTTTTTTAGGTTATTTTCAAAACGATGAAGTAAAAGAATGCTCTCATAAAGATCTGTCAAACTTTTTGTAGTTTAGTTTTTGCAAAAGTAGATAAGTAATGGAGACTAGCAGTTTGCCTTTTCTATACATCAGCCCGTAAAATAACTTGATTAGCGCCTTTTCTGTCAAATAGCTGGGGCAAATGAATGTTTTGCAAAAATTCTCCAGTTTTACCTAATTTCGGCATGTAATTGTTTGATTGTATGGCTTTTCTATCTCAGAACTAGGACAATGAATGTTTTGCAAGTATTTCACAGTTTTACTTTTTTTTGCCAATAACTATTAGATTTTTTTTAATTTATTGTAAAAAAAAATGATAAAGAAACAGTTTGACTCATTACGTAAACACTAACTTATTTTTCGTTGTGATCCACAGCTGCGAGTTGTTACAAGAAATGATCCTCACAGAAAACCTCTTAAACGTGAGTATAGAATGTGTTGGAGTGGTAAGATAATTACACATTATTTGACTGATGACGGTGTCTACTGTAATGAGGATTAGATCATGGATTTTATAGATACTACATGATTACTGTATACCGGGAAAGTTGTGCCCTGTCAAATTTTAGTCCATCGATGGTAAAATCGATTTTTGCCCAATATTAATTTGCCTTCGCATTAATTACTATGTATATTATGTTGTTCACTATTGTTTCCTGTAATGATCAATTAGCCCTGACTATTGAGGGCGAAAAAGGCAAAAATAAAACTGCAGCAAACATTTCCCTGGGAGCCACGGTGGCCAAGTGGTTGAGGCGTCTGACATTCTGCTACCACTAGCCCTCCAACACTTGGTCGCGGTTTCGATACCTACTTGGGGCAGTCGCCAGGTACTGGCCGTAGATTGGTGGTTTTTCTTTGGGAACTGTGGCTTTCCTCCACCAACAAAACCTTGCACATCCTTAAATGATCATATAGCTGTTAATAGGACGTAAAACACAAACTACCAAACATCCTGGTATACAGTATATATTCTTCAGTGTTATTTCTATGTTCTGAAGTAACACAGTTGGTTTTGTTAGCGAGACAACATCTGCCACCAAACTAGCACTATAACCAGTTTAGATAATGAATTATTACATGGTAAACTAGCTGATATAAAACATATAATGAGGAGTAAAATATTTCAGAATTATGTACCACCTTTTCAGGGAGGAATCAACGTAGAAGTGGGAAAAAAAAAAGAGATCTTCGTGTCTCTGATACACCGGAAAAAAGTTGAAATATGATGTAAAATGTTTGAAGAGAAAACATGTCTAAATATAGGCACCACACGTGTCATGTACCCGTGCCTGGGGCCTTATAAGTATATTATGAGTAGATTATTTTGATTATTATAGAGTTATTGAAGTTTCAAATTCGACATACAATGTTGTCTTTTGTAAAGTTTTAGAAAACGTTCTCATCACAGTTTCGAATTTGTAATATGTTTATAGAAATTTATGTATAATTAATTAAGTACGATTTTCTTTTGATAGGAACTTCCAATAACTATTGGTCGCCTAAAGAACTTGTCAAATTTCAACGTGGATAGAAACAAACTCACGGAAATCCCAGTCGAGGTGAGAATAAAGATGTTACATTGACACAAAATGTGTTTTGTATTACAAGCTGGTGTCAGGTTTATAAAGTTGTTTCAGCTTTAGAACAGTCAACACCACATTATTTACAGTTATACTGTATAAAATCACTTAATATTTGCAAATATATATATATTTTAATGAGAGTACTTTGGATAAATACACCAAAGAAATTGCAGAACAATTGAAAATTTGTAGCCATTGTTTCAAAAGATTTGAATAAATTATCACAAGGTAAGGAAGTTTGTTAACGATGGAGTTCTGGTTTTGGATAATTTGTCATTATAGAATGGCTTTGTTCTGTTATTTTGTTGATGTTATGTCCATGACATGAACAGCTGATGGAAAGGATCAGTAAATTTGGTCCTAGCTGATTATGCAAGTAAAGAATAACTTACAAGCTTTGTAAGTAAAGAATAACCTACAAGCTTTGTAAGTAAAGAATAACCTACAAGCTTTGTAAGTAAAGAATAACCTACAAGCTTTGTAAGTAAAGAATAACCTACAAGCTTTGTAAGTAAAGAATAACCTACAAGCTTTGTAAGTAAAGAATAACCTACAAGCTTTGTAAGTAAAGAATAACCTACAAGCTTTGTAAGTAAAGAATAACCTACAAGCTTTGTAAGTAAAGAATAACCTACAAGCTTTGTAAGTAAAGAATAACCTACAAGCTTTGTAAGTAAAGAATAACCTACAAGCTTTGTAAGTAAAGAATAACCTACAAGCTTTGTAAGTAAAGAATAACCTACAAGCTTTGTAAGTAAAGAATAACCTACAAGCTTTGTAAGTAAACAAGTGGTTTCATACACAGGCCTCCCCAACCAATCTCCTTTAAACAGGAGTGATGTATCACCGTATTTATAGAGAAAGTGGCATTGCGAGTACATAACTAAGGGGCTTCATGATGTTTTAATTTACAGATTGGGAGGTGTTTGCGGCTGAATGTGTTCTCCATGCGCGACAATCGACTTCTCCGTCTTCCTCAGGAACTGGGAAATCTCAAGGAACTCCATGTCCTTGATGTGTCCGGAAACAGACTTGAATACTTGCCCATTACAGTGGCTAATCTCAACCTCAAGGCGCTATGGCTGGCGGAAAACCAAGCAAAGCCAATGCTCAAATTCCAGACAGACTTTGATGAACGAACTGGACAACGTGTTCTAACCTGCTTTCTGCTGCCCCAGCAGGACTTCCACACAGAGAGCATGGGTAGGTCATTGCCTAATATGGTCATGGTTCCGCCCCCTGTGGGTAGGTCATTGCCAAATATGGTCATGAAACCGCCCCCTGTGGAATTTCACAGCTTCGGTAGGTGGATTACTATCACATGGTTATGGTTCCTGCTAATTTCTGTAGAGAGTGTGTGGTTGGTTGTTGGGCGTAATAAGGTAATTATTGTTTGCCTTGTATATATTTATTTTTTTCTCCTTCAAAAAATCTATTTGACCTAGAGATATTTTTCCTGATATCTTTTTTCTGAAATATGTCTGTCCTTTACAGAAAACAGCTTTTTAAGTTGTAGTGAAAATAGTTCTATAACACAGACACAGGAGAGGGGTTTGGGGTAGGTAGTAGTTCCAACAACCTCCCTTGTACTATAACATAGCCAGTAGAGTATGATGTGGTAAAAGCTGTTCTAACAACCTCCCTTGTACTGTAACTAGCCAGTGCAGGAAGCTGTTTGAAGTATCTGTTCCAACAACTTCCCTCATACTTGATAGCTTAGTCAGTAGAGGAAGATTTCTCCTGTACTTATAACATATCCAGCACAGGAAGGTAATCTATTAGCTATTCCAACAACCTTCCTGGTAACATGAGGTAAGTATAGTAATATTAATGATAACCAAATATCTGAGCAACCCATTCATATGAAACTCAAATATGATAAATAATTGTTCCAATAAATTCAAGGAACTGGTAAAGATTCATATGGTCAAGATTCATATGACTGGGTATAATCGGATAAATGAGTGCCCCACTAACATCACTGTTTCAACCTAGCATGTATCCCTATGCACAAATATTTATTAGTAAAAAAATGTTGCCTCTAAAAAAAATCTTTTCCTTTTCTATAACAAGGTTTTAAAGTTATTTTTAAATCCGTTTCTGAATGTCAGAGGAGCTAACACATAGAGGAAATTTGTTTAAGTGAGAATTAATTTCTGATGGATTTCAAATATTTGTTTTGAAGGTTGTCGCTATTTTGAAACCATAGATTTTACAGATTAAAAAAAAAGTAAGGTATTCGTCAGAAATGTTTCGATTTTGTCAAAGCAGGTCGGTATTGACAGGCAACAAGTACTGGAAGGTTTTCACATCTTTTATTAGCTATCAGCAAATGGAAGAACAAGTGTATGCGTACGTATCAGTTTGTGTCCTCGTCTGTGATTGGTCGCTTACATGCTCACATTTTCGGTATATATGCTAAAATAAGGATATAGAAAACCCTTCAACAGTTAAAAAAAAAAGTCAAGATCTGCTGATTGTGTTAATAGTGTGTCAAAATTGTTTTCTTAATTAGGATAACTTTCTGTTACAAATACATAGCTGCCTGGTTATAATACTTGAGACATCCAACCACTGTACCCAGTCAATTAATAACAGTAATCACCATTTCATATACCTTGTAAGATAAACTTCGAAGTGGTCAGGGTTTGGGTAAATTAAAACCTGTTTTCAGTAACTGTTTGCGAACTGTCTTTCCTATGTTCAATGACTTACCCCTACAATTCCTACCAATGAATGTATTAGCCCTAGAACTCAAAATGTCATTTGATTTTTAAGTATTTCAGAAAGTTTTAAAATTCAGGAAAATTAATTTCATTCAAATACAAACAAACATTCAAAGACCATTCATTCAATTGTTTTCAGATTCATGAAAGCTGTTGACACATCCTGAATCCTAAAATATTTGTCCTGAACTTTTTTTTTAGCAAACTAGGGCCAAAGGAATAGTATGATGTATTAACCCATCCAACCCTAAAGTCACATTGGAACATTAGCTAAATCAAAGACTGGGCAAGTCCACTCTAATATGTAGGGGTGAATGAGTTAAAGAATGATGTGCCGCCCCCNGATCTTTGGGATTTAATGTTGTATGAATTAAGGATGGTGATCTCTTAGGGGTAGAGGGATGGAGGGAGGAGGGGGGGGCAAATAAGACATCATAAGATTTCAGAATTATTATTTTAAGTTTACCGGGTACATATCTAAATTTCTGGTAAAATAAATCTCTTCAATCAATTATTTTTTTAATGTTTACCGGGTACATATCTAAACTTTCTGGTAAAATAAATCTCTTCAATCAATTATTTTTGGAAGATTGTTTGATATGTTTAAACAGCCTGTTAGAGTTTTCTTTATCCTTACTTTAGTTCTTGAATATTGAGATTGTCAACAACATAACCAGGTAACTTGTACCATTATTTCATCATACTTTCTCAGAAAAAGGTAAGATTTTTTTTTTAAATTAATAGTAATGTGAAGAATCTTTACCACCAGTGTAATAAAATGATGTAAGATTTGTGAAAATCTGTTGAATATTTTGTTCACAATCTGAAAAATTGCAAAACCAAAATGAATTGGACAGACTATTACTGTGATTCATTTTAAAGGCTTTGCTCTAGTTGGAAATGTTATTTTTGTGTATGCAAAATATTTTACTGATTAAGTCTTTACTACAAAGGTCAGTAAATGTTGAAGCTGATTTTACTTTAATAATTAAATTGGTGACCTCTGAGTTTGGTAACCTCTAACATTAGTGATCTCTGTCCTTTTAACCATCTGACTTTAATATTCTGACTTTTCAAATATTATTTTGAGTGCTCATAGATTTTACTGAATTTAGATGGGTTTTCTCATGTTAAAAATTTAATTTTATATTTGTTTTTTATACTGACCTCATATTTAAAGATACAATTCTGCTACTCAATGTGTTCGTGTAAAATATAGAATGAATGATTTACTGTAACCTAATACCATTGATTTATAAGAGTTAGCTCCTTTAAAAAAAAATGATATCATCTTATATATAATCATGTTACGGAATTACCCGACTTATCTCGTGCATCAGTGTTTCATGAACCAACTTAAACTGTTACATACTGTAGTGTATACCGGGATATTTTTGCCCTGTCAAACTTTCGTCCTTCACCAATGAAATCAGTTTTTGCCAAGTGTTAATTTCACCCTTCACATTTGATTACTATGCTTATTATGCTGTTTACTTGTATTTGCCCTAATGACAAATTTTCCTGCATAAGGGAGGGCAAAAAGGGGAAAATTAAACTGCAGTGAACATTTCTCTGTATACAGTAATGCTAGGGTTGTGGCCACAGAAGTCTACCCTCTAATATTAAGGATAGTTGTTAGGAGATTGGTTAGACGTGAGGACAGGAGAACTAGTTGTAAGCTTGGGTACTAATGCATCAATAGTAGCCTGTAGATAAGATATATCTATACTTGCATGTGACATTTTCTTAACTTGTATGCACTATATATATGACAAGTATCATTAACTCATTCACCCTTGAAGACACATGTGAACTCTTCCAATTCAAACGTTGGAATAGTTCATTATGAAATTTCAGGGGTGATTGAGTTGAAACATCATCATAACGGGGAAAGACAATTTTAAGGATGACCCATGGTCAGTGGATAATCTGTAGGGCAAGTGAATTTTTGTGTTCACTTACCAAACAGACTAGTGCCGAATTTGAATGATACATTAAATATTATTGTATTCTCAGTTTACTGTTGCATAACTGAAAAAAAATCAAATGCTGAAGGAAAATATTTATGTTCATGTTATTGAATACTTGCAATGCATTTTTGGTAGTTTTGAGATCTGTATATTTCAACTGCAGGCATTTACTTTTTCAAATCCACTTACCCTTATAAAGATCAGCACTTCTGAAAATGATTGTTTTGTCCTGCTTAATATCATTGAACACACTGCTCACAACTTGTTTAAACCACTAACCTTTGTTTCTTCAAAGATATGAAAAAAATCATCAATTTTAGAAGAGAAAATGAAATATGTGAGAGTGCACAATAATCACCTTTTATGAAATATTTTAAGGATGTATGATTGTATGGCTTATCTTCTCTGGTCACCCGTCCGTCCTGCCAATGAGGCAAACCTTACAAGGGTAATATCGGGAATATACGTGAAGAACTTCTTCTTGAAGTGTTGTAAAACTTCTACCAAAATGTTCATACAGCCTCCTGGTTATGAGGGGCTTCCGGCCTTGGTCTTGAAAATTTATTTCCAGCTTTAACCTTTCTATAGTTCTACCCAGCCAATTTCATTCTTGTGAGTGTTAGGGCCTGCAATCTGATTGGCTGATTGATGAAGGAATCATCAGATTTTCATGAAATTATTGATGAACCAAGTCCATCACATCAGTCAAGAGTGAAGTCCAGACCAAATTTGTGAATATTTAGTGAGACTGTTGCAATCTTATCAATAATATATACGTTAATTTTTTTGCATATTATTCCTACATCATGTATAAATTGCAATAAACCATGATTTCACCTAAGCTACTGCAGACAACACATTATCTTTTGTTCAATTTTCGTTTTTTCCATAAAATGACGTTTTTTATCTCCTCTTTTTTATTTATTATTATTTAATCTTCAATCTTTGTTGAAATGCTTGTGTTATTCCCACCTAACTTTTTCAATTCTTGAAGAAAGTTAATTCCAACATTATTTTTTTTTCATTTTGCAGAAAATTTACTGCGAGGTAGTATTGCAACGGACGCAGAGAGCCAGATCATTGAGGAAACTCTGAAGAACCCCCGCGACAGTACCATACAGTTTGAGGTTCCCGACTCAGACGGGGATGACGATAGCAATGTAAGAACTTTGGGGTCACGTGGAATAAGGTAGTGAGTGGGTCACATTAGATAATGGAACGATGGCAGTTGTAAAAAGGGATATTTATAGACGTTCTGTTTCACCATGTAGCAAGGTCTTTTATTGTAATTCAGATTAATACTTCTTAGAAACAATTAATGAATAGATATTTATAAGAGTCGAGAATTTTTAGAATATGAAAAAGGCTGTTATGGACAATTTGGAAATAATGGGAATATTTGACTGCACTTTCATTATCATAAATTGGTATTCAGACTTGGCCAAACTTCTCAAGAGCCACTCCCCGTATTGTACATATTTCACTTTCAAGCACATAAATTGATTGAGGGATACACTGATAAAAAAGACCATTAGAAAGAAGAGAATAATTGCAAAAAAAAAGATGTTGCAGAAATGTCACTTTCAGTTTAGGTGTGTTCTTGACCAGAATGATTAGAATTTATTTTCTTGTTAGCATGGTGAGTTATCACATGTAGGCATGACTTCATACATAGATGCTGTAGGGTGTGTATATTTTGCTGATGTTTCTATATCCATGGGTTAAATTATTTTTGTGAATTCATTGTTGCTTACCTTGTAATGACTTAGGACCGTTTTAAAGGGTTTTGCATGGAATCAGAAGCTGGAAAACATTTTAAAGGAACAAAACCGTCAGATTTTAACCTGCAAAATTAAGTGCAATGCATTAATTATTGTTAAATAGGTGTGTTTGTCATTACATTTTGATTCCTATATAGACAATAATCTATATTGTCAAACTGTTTTTTTGTTTTTGTTTTGGTCAGGGCAATCTACTGCCAAGAGCTTATTTACTTATTGATGTAATTATCAGCAAGTTGTTATGTCATTTTAATTTAATATTAATTTAAAGCGCCCTAAACACACAAAGACTGACAAAGTAAGTATTCTTTGTTCCTACATCTATGCATTCTTAATTTTCGTGTACCGGGCTGAAATCTTTCCAAAAGCCTTTAGCGAATGTGGATCATGTCTTTCTGAATATATATATTTGTGTATGGCGAATGTACTTCTGTTATGTAATCTTGCCTGTGATTCTACTGACCTTTGAACTCTGACCTCTCTCACAGAGCAACTTTGTAAGGCATGACACTCCGCACCCCAAGGAGCTGAAAGCACGCCACCCCAAGTTCAACAAGAATAAGGTTCAGGGCATTGATGGGCATGTGATTCCTCATCAACAGGAGAAGAAGGTAGGCAGCTAGGTCGTTCAGGCGATCAAGGTCTGTCTGTCTGTCTGGATGTCTGTTTGTCTGTCTTTCTGTTTGTATGTATGACTATGCCTGTCAGCTAGGTCATTCAGGCGATCAATGTCTGTCTGTCTGTATGTCTGTTTGTCTGTTTGTCTGTCTTTCTGATTGTATGTATGACTATGCTTGTTTGCTAGGTCGTGAAGGCGATCAATGTCTGTCTGTCTGTTTGTATGTATGACTATGCCTGTCAGCTAGGTCATTCAGGCGATCAATGTATGTCTGTTTGTATGTATGACTATGCCTGTTTGCTAGGTCGTGAAGGCGATCAATGTCTGTCTGTCTGTTTGTATGTATGACTATGCCTGTTTGCTAGGTTGTGAAGGCGATCAATGTCTGTCTGTATGTATGTCTGTTTGTATGTATGACTACACCTGCCTATGGCTGTTCAATGTGACTAACCTTGTATTTCTGTATATATGTATGATTGTATGTATGTCTGTATTACAAAATTGAACAATACATCAAAATATTGATAGATACCAATAGTTCACCCCTCATAAAAATGCTTCTTTGATAAATTTGAAAATTCAATGAAAATAGTGTTTTTCGCTATTAGCAATAGTATCACTCACTAGTCAAGAGTGGGCTGTAATTGTCGCACATTAGTTCCTATGTATGTCCATCTATGTGTGTGTCATCTGTTTGTATGTACATATTTTCTGTACCTATGCCTCATTATGTATGGCTGGCCATCCATCTTATAGTATTTGTCTGTATGTCCATCTGTATTCTTGTATGTATGTCTCCCTGTCCATACTAAAATTTGTATGTCTTTCTGTTCGTAAGCCGATATCTACAGCAAGTCTTGAGAAAGTTATTGTTGGGCACACCTCACTGACAGTAACTGATTATGTCTGCTATATTGGTACAGTGAGCTGATGGTAAAAATTCAATTTCGTCATATAACATGAATCTTTCTGTATGTTGCGCTTTGTCATTTCTGTTTTTGTCTTTTCGGCACACTTAAAGAAGAAAATAAGTGATTTTCAAATATTTATTTTGGACAGTCATCAATGGTTTAGTACTGTTTTTGCTTCCTGAAGTGAGTAATTATGGAATAGTTTCCTCTATGAATGTATATTGTGTTCCCTGTGATTGATGATTTATGGTGTGCGACCTGTCTAAATGTCGTTATGCTACACAGGACCAGGCGTTCATGCCTGCGCGTGATCGTGACAGCGACTTCCTCTGGCAGCAGGACCAGACAGATGAATTCCCCACAGAACCATCGGAGAAGCCAGCCAAGCGTGTCCAAATTGGAGGGGAAGAGGAAGTGAGACAGGAGATGCCACCACTGGAGTGTGAAACAGTACCTCCTGTCATCAAAGGTACGCCCTTATTCTGAACTTGAACGTGTCATAGTAATGATAATAATTTGAGGTTCTTGTATACCGCTTTATCACAACTTAGATTGTCTTAAAGCGTTCAACAAGTTATTATCAGTGGTTATTGGGCCTTTGCAACCAGCCAATATCTTTCCCAACTCCCTGAGGAGCATACAGCCGGTGCTGTCATTTCGTCACTCACAGCTAGCATTCAACAATTCTAGCAATGTCCAACCATGTACTCATTTACAGCTTAGTAGACTGGAACACGGTAAAGTATCTTGTTAAAAGATAAAACAGGGTGCCATGATGGGATTCGAACCCCAGACCCTTCAATCACAAGCCCAGCGCTTACCACAAGATTACCATGCTATTATGTGTCAGTAGATTATCACTCATCGACTAATACTACCTGTCTTCTACGCTTGAAGATGTAAACAGATTATCATTTGTTGACATCCAAGAAACACCTCAGTTCATGCTTTAATGTTAGTAATGATATAAAATTCAAAGTTTACACAAATTTATTTGTTGCTAGACATGATATCTGTCTGATTTAAATAGCTCCAGAATTGGTTGGTCCACCTCGCCACGAGAGTCAGACCCAGGAAATCAGCGAGGAGGAGGAGTCGCCGACGGAGACGGCTCCACTGATCCGAGAGGTCCAAGTGTCGGAGACTGTGTTTATTCCCGAGGAGCAGTACAACGGAGCCATGGAGGAGGAAGACGCAGAGGATTCTGATGATGAACAGAGGAGCTTCGAGGAGTACGATTCTGATGATGTGAGTGTTGTAATAATCGCATACCTCTCATATGATGATTGATACAGATTGATCTCTGTCAAGGTGTGACGGGATGGAACTGATTTCTATTTCATTTACAGAGATTAGGATAAAACGGTTGATTTGAGCTAAGCCCGGGACCGAGTCAGGGTGATGCAAAATTACAGTACTGGCTATAAGTGTTCAAATTATCGATTTTATATTACTTAATGCAAGTTAGAAATATTGTGTACAGAATTGTACATGAAAACTTGCAATTTGTCCTTTCTTTGACGAGAAAACTTACACAGGACATGCCAGAAAGTCCATTGACAACATCTAAACTATTTCCTTTACGATCAGGATGACATTTACCGTCCACGGAAGGTTGGATTCGACCCAGAGATTGAAGAACACCCGGATCATAAGATGGGATTGAGGCGGCGGGACACACCTCACCACAGGAAAAACAAGCGCATCATCCATAACGATGAGACAAAGGAGAAGGTCCTCGAGATTCTGGCTCAGGCCGCCGCTCAAAAGGAACAAACCGTGGCACCGGTAAAACTGGAGGTAAGGACTGCAGGGAGACGGCCATGTGTTCAAATTCATCTATTGAAATAAAATAAAAATCCCCAATTCACAGTAGAAATGCTTTCTCACAAAAGGTAAAATATTTGGTAAGCTATTAACTGAAGTTAGTTTCCATGATGTATTCACTCTTTATGGATGGGTAAATTTTAATGAATATTTACCAATATACATATCACAAAAATGCTACTTAATCAGTAGAATGTCAGCTCCTATAAATCAGCAAGTGTTTATTGATTTTTCTAAAATTATAATTGATTTTTTTTTTGAATTTGTAGCAGCAGAGTTTAACTCATTCACCCCTGACATTTTATAATGAATTATTCCAACCTCTGAATTGGTAAGGGTTCAAATGTGTTTTCAAGGGTAAATGAATAACTCATTCACCCCAAAGACACATTTGAACTCTTCCAATTCAAGGGCTAGTATAGCTCATTATGAAATTTCAGGGATGAATGAGTTAAGATATATTTTAACCGTGATATTTTTTATTTAAGCCAATCGAGGGCCTTAGATTACCAAACGTAAACAGCAGCCTCAACGATTCAAAAAAGGAGGAGGAATTCTCAATTCATATCCTGAGACAGAAGGGCCAAGGGCTGGGCATCAGTATTGCTGGAGGAAAGGGGTCTACTCCATACCAAGGGGACGATGAGGTCAGTGTGAGGTTGTAGGGTCATTAAGGGTCAAGGTCGGGCATCAGTATCGCTGGAGTAAAGGGGTGTACTCCATACAAAGGGGACGATGAGGTCAGTGTGAGGTCGTAGGGTCACTAAGGGTCAAGGTCGGGCATCAGTATTGCCGAGGAAAGAGGTCTACTCCATACAAAGGGGATGATGAGGTCAGTGTGAGGTCGAAGGGTCATTAAGGGTCAAGGTCGGGCATCAGTATCGCTGGAGTAAAGGGGTGTTCTCCATACAAAGGGGACGATGAGGTCAGTGTGAGGTTGTAGAGTCATTAAGGGTCAAGGTTGGGCATCAGTATTGCCGAGGAAAGGGGTCTACTCCATACGAAGGGGACGATGAGGTCAGTGTGAGCTTGTCACTAATGTTCAATTAATGCCACTTAACGGGGCAGAGTATTAATTTACCTTCCTGTACAGAAGATTAAGCTTTGATGCGATTGATTTGAACATCTTGTGATATATTTCTTAACAATCGGGTAGAAAAAGACAAGTTGGAAGTCTCTTGCTTTGTTATGTAACATTTACAAAAAATCTTGTAGGCGTTAGACTGCCACCATTGATACACGACTCATATCTATAAAATACACCAGAAGATTGACTCAGTCAATGGTAGCTAAAGAATTTAACCACAGTCACAAGCGACTGATGATAACTAGAATTAATGATTCGCAGGTTGATGTATCAAGAAAATGGAACTTGCTCATGAAAATGAAGATGATAATTTTCGCTTCTATGTGTGAGAAATATTCATCACGAAGATAAAATACAATGTCACTCCAGGTTCTTTGTTTAATAATTTTTATTTTTTTGGTTTATCTCCAGCATGTGCATGATAGAAATCATAGACTGGGGGTCTACTTACATCAGCATTAATGTTCCAGTTAAACCAGGCATATTGTAGCTTTACGAGTACAGATATCATCTCGTATCACCTTTAATGAATTCTGTAAAATAAAATCAATAAAATCAGATGTATTTAAGGGTTTACATACATTTTTTGTCCCTTCAAAAACCAATCTAGCCGATATTTGATGTTATATCATATTTGGTCATTTTCAGAGTATTTTTATATCCCGTGTGACGGAGGAAGGGCCTGCTGGGAAAGCGGGCGTTCGTACGGGAGACAAACTTATTTCGGTAGGTGAAAACAAGGAACATGGGTTTAGTCCAGTCTTTGCTATAGTACTTATTTTGTAACATACACTTTCAGCCTTTTTAGTTCATACAATACAACTATTTCTACTTTTAAATGAAATATTTTTAAGTGTAAATCCTAGCTGAACTAAAAATGTCAAGGCAGACATTGAAAGTATTTAAACACTGTCAGATCCTGTTTCATAAATCAACAACGCTGTTGCAACAGGTCAAATCATTCTTGTTCATTATCCAAGTGGTAAAATTTTACAAATTCTTTAATATACCAGATTTTTGCTATTATTGAAAAAATTAATAAGAAATTTGTAAATTTTCAAGGCCCCTTTTACTGTTAAGTTGGTTTAATATCGGACCAAGCTTGTCAAATGTATTGTGAGCGATTTCGGACAGATACATTGGTTGTTGACAGGTAAATGGAGTGAACTTAGTTGAGGCTGATCATTACGATGCCGTTGATGTGCTGAAGACCGCAGGAAATGACATCACAATGGTTCTAGGCAGAGAGGTAGAAGAACCCGAGCCAGCAACAACAGAAGTGACTCTATCAGTAAGTAATAGGGCTGTCACAATATATCAGGAAACAGGTATATCGCAATACGCTGGTATATCGTATCGTACCACAATACAAAGATGAAATATTGCTGTATCGCAATATTTTTGAAAAGATTATTTTTATGTATCTGCTTGGTGTTTTAACTTTGCAAATTTCTAAAAATTCTAACATATGCCAATAAGCATGCAGCAGGCTTTTGATAGTGGTGGGAATTAGTTCAAATTTTGTAATCAATGGTTGGTTTGACAAAAATCTTAAATCTATGTAATCCATATGTTTGATAACATTCTGACAACAACTTATTATAAAATTGAGCACAAATAGGGATACGTATCGCAATTTATTCATTCTGTATTGCAATATATCGTGATAGGCTCTTGGCGTATTGTGACACCCCCCTACTAAGTAATGATTCCATTCATTGTAAGCTCACTCTAGAATGTGTCAGTGATTGTAAGTCACATGCACTGACTTTTAGTATCACAGTTTTGGAACATCGATTTTCAATAAAGGACCACAAAAACTCTAACTAGCTAGATTGTATAAAGGATATCGTCAGACATGTTATTCGGCTACATTTTCAAATAGTCATTTGGAGCCTTTTTGGGATATGATCATCCCACCATCAAATTTTGAGGTGGAGAGTAGTAATATTGAAAAGAGAGAGATAGAAAAGAAAGAGAACAGATTGCTCAAGGGAAGTATTTGTGAACACTGTACTCGGGGTTGAAAATAAACATCTGCAACCATGTTTCAGTAAAGTCTTCTGTATTTAGTGCACACTTAACACATTGATCTGGACAAGTCCATTATGGTCTACAGTGGTGAAAGGATTAACACATACCATATCTCATGTTCATGATGTATTGATATTTCAAGGGTAAAATATTTCATTTTAATCTGTATGTTCATAGTCTAATTTAGCAGATAGAAGAATTACTCATGTGTAAGTATGTGATATGATACATTTATGTTGTAACATGTCTCTTGTGATCTTTAGGAAGCCTCAGATGAGAAGAAACCAGGGTTCGCAACGGTTACTTTTGAACAAGCACCAGACACAGAGGTTTTCGGAGAGGTAAAACTTCAGTTTGTTTCGCTCATTGTGTAGGACTTGTATGCTTTGGATAATGGTGTTAGTAAAATAGAAAAGAGGGAAAAACTATTTTTTTTAATAGATATCAATAAAATGAACCTTTCATAGGGATATTTTGTTTTGTATTTGTATGATATGCTACAGATAACAGCTTTGATGAAATTAAATGCAATGTTCCGTCCAGGATGGATGTTGCATTTTGATTTTATAACCATCTTTATTTTGGTCTATTGTGTGTGCAGATAATTGTAAACTAGCTGAAAATAGCTTGTGCTGAGGTCAAAGTTACTATTACTACTTATAGAAATTTGTCAAGTAAGCTATTTTTAATATACAGTTCATGTCATTCAGACGATTTCTGGTTTTGTACCAGAAGTTGTGTAAATTGTACCAGATAATTTTGTTGATGGTAAAATCTATAAGGTGATAGTAATGAAATGGTTTCCTTTTCAGACAATCAAGACAATTTTAAGACGTGACGAGAATGGTCTGGGGTTCAGTATTGCTGGTGGCCGAGGGTCCGTGCCATTTAAGGGAAACGATCAGGTATGATACCATTCAGAGTTACCTCCCCTTGTGGTAGATTCCTTTAGGTTTCAGGTTAAGTGTTCATTTTCATTGTTGCTTGCAGAAATATTTGTAAGACATTTCCATTTTCTTTAAAAAATACTAGTGAATTTCTTCTTCTTTTTTTCGTTTTTGTGTTTTAACTACTTCTTATTTCAGTTACTTTAAATTCTAGAATTATTAGTTATCAATCACATTTTTAATGTGAATAATTTTTGAAAAAAATCTGCAGAATTGGTCTTTCTTAATTAATATTTTTTCTGATTATTGTCCTTTTTCATCCTCTTTTTAATTGTCTAGCCTGCTGCTGTTTAGTTTATGAAATTCTTTAACTTTATTCACTTTTGACAAACCAGGATCTTTGTGGATTTTTAACTTCTTCTCTGAAAGTACTGAACCATATTTAACTAAAGTTGACAGGAATATCAGGATGGTAGGTGGGTGCAAAGTGTTTAAAAGGCCTTTAGGGATCCAATAAGTAGCAAAAAAGGCGACATTTAATACAAATTTTAAAATGATCTGAAGTATTGATACCAGAATGTATCCATTTGTAGAATGGACTAGGCCGGAACAGTTTAGGTTGTTCATTTCATAACCCTTGACCCAAAATGGTGCCACAATCAATCAAAAGTCTTATTGGTTTATATACAGGAAAAACATAAACTTCTTTTCTGTCACATTTTTAGATTGCCTTAGCCTTGGTGATCCATCATTTTAGGGCAATTCAACAACCATTGTTATATTCCTACTGAATTTGATTAACCCTTTCACCCCTATGTAACTTTAATCAACTCTACGATGCATTGATCTGGGTAAGTCTATTATGGTCTATAGTGGTAAAAGGGTTCAGGTTCCATAGCAAATAGGGATTCAGGGTAGTTCAGTGGGGACCGTAACCCTTCAGGGGAAAAGGGAAGTAGGGCAAAAACAGGGGTTATAGCAAACGTTTATTTGAGATGAAACGAAATGATATGTCACAGTGTTTCAATCATTGCTCAGTATGCTTGGCTACTTAAGCACTGTGCTGTAATGCTTGTCTCTGGTATCTGTCAACACACTGCACACGTTAAATCTGCGTTATGTTACCAAACATGGAATCGATAGAAGGCTGCCTGATTATCTCCCCTTAGTGAATATATTGTCCGATTATCTCCCTTTATCGAACTGCTTGCTTCTCTTTTAGTAGTTAGCTTTACTTCTATGCTCTGCTGTTGCCTATTAGGTGAAATTTGGTGAAGTCGGACATTTTTTTCAAAGAAGCAAATTTGCATGACCATCTAGAGTCAGTGTTGTTATTTTTGTTGGATGGCGCAATGGTAATGCACTTGCTTTTCAACAAGGTGGCCGGGGTTTGATTCCCCTATCAGACGTAAAGAGTATGGAGTCACCTGCCAGGCCATGTGGGTTTTCTCCAGGTACTCCGGTTTCCTCCAACATTTAGATCCCTGTGTGCTAACATCAGGGCTGACAAGAGTGATTAATTGTCAGTTGAAATAACTTGTATTTCATATTTGTATTAAAATAAATAAAGTTTATATTTCATGTCAGTTATCAAAATCAGGCTGAATCCTGAATTGGTTTGCTCTAAATGTTGGACACAGAAATGAATCTAGGATACGTTGTATTGTTGTGAGACTTTCTGTTTTCTGTTTCATTGTTTAGTACCATATTGTCACTCCCATCTCTTGGTTGATGTTGTAATCTCTTGCAGCTCCCATCAGTTAGTAGTGATAAGTTTATCTCTTTTCTCATCGTTTCACAAAGTAACATATCATATCATGGTGACCAGTAGTTGTGAGAGAAAAAAAATCAAATTATTGTCAAGTGTTTGAAATATCTTGAAAATATGAAAAAGACCTTTTGAAAGATTTACAGTTTCTGTTCAAAGGGCAATTTACAAAGAGTGTTGGATAACATGAAATATTTAATAGTTAGAATATTACATGCTTAAAAACCCTGCGTGAAAAAACACCCAGTAAAATCAAATTAAAGAGAGAAAACTTCCAAGAAATCGAGTTTGATGGTGTTGTTTTATGATGATATTCGTCGTTTTTACAGCAAGTGTATACCTTCCTCGAGGTTTGTATGATCGGTGCATGAAATTCCACTGCTGATTGTCTCCCCTGTGGCGTTTAATATCGTTGTTATTCCGTACAAGATTGCTCGTGACCATTTCATGTCTAAAAGTTGTCAACGTTATTAATTTGTTGTTCTACTTTCTTTTTTAGCGCCCGCATAGAATTTGCATGGATTTGTTCTTTTGGATTCTTCGTTCTCATTCTTTCATGAAAGTTATTAATAATTTCCTTCTGCATTCGTTTCTCTTCATTTACCCTGAGACAGCCATCAACATTGTTTAGAACTAGCATGATCCCAGTATACATCCTGTATGGTGAACATAATACAGTTTTATTGAAGCCAATCAAAGGATTAACATGTTATAAATAATTACTCATTCTATCCGTTGCTGTCTGTGTTTGTCCCGTGCATTAATAGAAATTTGAGCAGAAACAGAATTGAGTGCTGTGGCATGAAATCCAGAACAGATCACTGGAAGTTTTACTTTTTATATATTTAGAAAATATATATAATATAACCCTTTTCCCCCCAATTTCATTAAAGAAATTCAAAAAAGGTAATTTAAAAAAATATCAAAGGTACATTGTTATTGCTGAAAAATTAATGTATCAAAAGTTTCAGACTTTTAGAACAAGCAGAAAAAAATTGTATCGGATAAAGTTTTTATTTCTTTTTTAAAACATTTTTTTTTTAATTAATGTCTTGATAGTTTTTGCGGCCTACCTTTCATGGTCCATTGACTTTGTCAGCATCTCCATCAACAGTTTTTTGCATTTAAGTTGGTTTCTCTGATATGTTAATTGATGGTCAAAGCAGGGCACAGGCAAGACATATCAATCTGATTGGCTTGTTGTTTCTTTAATCAACATTGTGCTAAGTGTTCATTGAGTATGGCGAACATGAATCATTTTAAAAAGGATTGAAAGTTATAAAAAAAAATATAGGAAAAATAATTCTGGAAAAAAAGAAAAGAAAAATTATTAAATTTAACCATTATATTTTGAGTCGAAGCATAGTCACAGATAGTTACACATTTTAATGGTCTGTATTTTGTGTTTATATGTTAGATTATCTGTGTATGGTAAACCAGTTATATTTTCAGTTTTTGTTCATGTCAGCATTTTTTTAATAAGAATGTGAAATGTAATTTTAAATAACGTGTTTGTAATCAAAATAAGGGTTTTCTTTTGCTTTTTCTTTTTGCTATTTTTATGTCATTAAATATGTATCTCTTTTTTTGTGTCTAAAACTTGTGAAGTAATTTTATACATAATTATGAAATATAATTGAGTTACCATGCCTTTTACACTTTTGTCATTTTCAAAGAGCATCACAGATTTCAAGTAAATTATTCCCAAATTATCTGTTGTATTCTTTTTCAGATTTAATTTAGATTTCAGCAGGTACAATGTTTTTAAGTTGATGCTGGTTTTTTACTTCCGCTTCTTCAACAAACTTTGATCTGTTGTAAACACTTTCAGATCTATCTGAATCTGGTTCCATACAATTCAAACTTCCTCTAAATATATTTGATTCACTTTTCAGAATTCTTTAAAACAGAAACCTAATGCTAAACCAGTTGAGTCAATGTTTCATTTGTGATTGATTTGTTAAAGTGTCTTTATGTGGGGATATGTAGAGTTATCACCCTTAAATTTGAGGGATTTGAATGTTGCGTTTGTGACCAAGTTGTTTCAATGTCTTTATGTAGTGATATAGTATATGGAGTTATCACCCTTGAATTTTAAGGATTTCTATATTTTTTTGGTGACAAAATTGTTTCGGTGTATTTATATGATGATATATGGAGTTATCGCCCTTGAATTTTCAGTTTTTCTTTTCTTTTTTTTCTATATGATGATATATGGAGTTATCACCCTTGAACTTTAAGGATTTACATGTTTCGTATGTGACTGATTAGCAATAACAGTGTTATGTGAGAGTTATCTCTCTTGTACTTCCAGGCTATCTACATTTCGCGTGTGACAGAGGGAGGAGCCGCTGCTAACGACGGTAACCTCAAGGTCGGAGACAGAATAATTTCGGTGTGTACAATTAAAAATGCCGTCAGTTTATTTCCTCTTTGGTTGATCTCAGTTCATCCTAAAAATGCACAAAAGTACAATTTAATCCTTTAATGACAAGCTACAAAACTGGCCCTGTCCTTCCAAATAAAATGATATCTAACAGCTAGTTAAGGTCGCAATTGAAAACAATATCATATAACTAACCAGTGTTTGTTTTCGTCTTTAGTTTACTTGTAAAAATAGGCACCTTCTCGTATCCAAGATTTGTTCATTTTCCCAAAATGATATTGGGAAAATAAAATATAAATCTTGGCTACGAAATTTTAAATTTACAAAAAGTAAAATAAAATATCAGGAATATTATTTATATTTTGATAAAGAATATCACTAAATTTACCAACTCATGCAGGCACAAGCAATTGTAAATATTTGATTGAAAAAAAACTGGTTTTAATTTCTCTATAAAAAATCTATCAAATGTTTGTTATAATATTGAATTCATTTGAAGTCATCAAATAAAGATTTACTGTTATGGTAGAAAAAGAAAATTTTGTTTTGAGAAAAAACTGTAGGATTGATATTTTGAGTATAATATATGAATGAAAGTAGTATGGTAAATGACTCGAGATTTAAATAAATATTTTTTTGAAGAAAACTGGGTCCAATAATGTCTTATTTCTGTTTCAGATAAACAATGTAGATATGCAGGATGCCCGACACGATCAGGCGGTGTCACTGTTAACAGGGGTAGACAACTCTATCAACCTTGTCGTGTATCGGGAGAAAGTCATTCCAAAAGAGGAGGCAGTTGTAAATCCACCCAGCGGGGAACGTCTCAAGACGATGACCCAGCCCCTCATCACGTGGAACGAATCATCTCCACCTGCGGAGAAAGAAGAGACATTCATTGTCAGTCAGTCGCCGGTGATGACTGCGTCCCCGTTGCCAGGGTTACCAAGTCCTAGCCCTTACTCTTCAGCCATCCCTTCTTCATACACATATCCCAGCCCTCCTCATGCCACTGTTACTTCAGCAGACTCTTCATCCATACCCCCTCCCCTCCCCGAGGTCCCACCCCCTTCCGTCTCCCCTGACAACAAGGCCGCTCCATACATGCCTCTCACCACCTCACCTGCGGCTAGCCCACGTATCTCCAGTGATTGGTCGGCAAAACCCACCACGGTGCAGCCGCCTAAATTTGTGTATCCGGGATATAACCGGAGTTCACGGACGTCTGTTGAAATAAAAAACAAAGACAATGTGGAAGCTACATCGCCTCCACTACCTCCACCACCACCCCCACCCCCACAGGAGGTGGAGGAAGTTCAATCACCTGTGTTAAATTCAAATCACAGTGAAAGTGAGGCTGACAAACCGGCTGATCAGACATTTTCTGTGAGTAATCAGAACTCCTATGACAATCTGCCAAATGACGTATCAAGTAGGTTTCCCATTGAGGATGTAACAATAGTGAAAGCGGGCGGCCCTCTTGGACTTTCTGTTGTTGGGGGCAGTGATCACGCCAGTCATCCCTTTGGTCTGGATGAACCGGGTATATTTGTATCAAAAGTAAGTCGACTTTCTTCAGAATTTCTGATTACATAACTGTAAACATTGATTTTTGTTTGCAAAAGATTCCTTTATCGTTTTAGTAGTGACTATCTTAGTGGGTTAAGAAGTGCTGAATGTTTTTCCCAATTTTAACTTGAAGACATTCTATAATCATGTTTTATAAATAATCGTATATTTTTTTTTACTACAGCTGGTGATTTTTTGTAACAATCATTTACAAGAGATTTTGTTTTACTTTAGATTGTTCCTGATGGTGCTGCATCTAAAACAGCGTTAAAAATTGGTGATAGGCTTTTAATGGTAAGTTTTGTCAACTGATGGGATTTTAATGGGAAGTTTGTCAAGTAATGGGCTTTAATGGTGAGTTTGTCATATAATGGGTTTTAGTAGTGATTTTGTACAATAAAGGGCTTTAATGGTGAGATTCCCAAGTAATGGGTTTTAATGGTGAGTTTGTCAAGTAATAGGTTTTAATGGTGAGATTGTCAAGTAATGAGTTTTTAATGGACATTTTTCACGTAATGAGTTATAATGGTAAGTTTGCCATGTATTTGGCTCATAAACCTCATAATTTTTTTAAAAATTTGCTATTCCATTAGAACTGGGTAACCTATCTGAAACAAATCCAATGTAATTTAGAAACCTCGACTAATTTATGTTATTTCTACAGGTAAACGGTAAAGATGTAACGCAGGTGACACACCAAGAGGCAGTTATGCTATTAATATCTCCGACGCATGAAATTAATCTCAGTGTTCGTCACGACCCACCTCCAAGTGGACTGCATGTAAGTATTGCCTGTCAGAGCCTTTATTGTGACTTCACACCTTACCGAAAGAGTACTTCGAGTCTAGGACCTAAGATCAAAACCCCGGCCCAACGTATACAACAATATGTGTACAGTCATTCTGTACACTATATGTCTCCTTTCATGTAATGTCTGTATGACAATCTGATCCTTTCACTTCTGTTTTTCATGTAATCTGAATTATTATTTTGCCCAAACACCGTGATTATAAAAGTATAGAACAAATGTCACTCTAAGTTCCAATATTTCGGCCTGCTGGCCTTCTTCACAGGCGAAAGTCAACGATTGATTCAAGTGATGTCCATCTTGCTTCTTTTGAGGTAGAGAGGGAAAAACATCATAATTCTAGTAAATGCTTTGTCAGTGTGTCAACCATGTTTGTGTCAGTAGTAAAAAGCTTGGGTAAGGATATCTCATGAATCCCACAACAAGATTCAGTTTATAGGACCGCCATGGTGTGGTGGCATACAGTTCTACACCTAAATAGATGATTGTGGATGTAGATGAATGACAAAGGTCAAAAGGTCACTCTTGACCACTATTGACCACTATGAAGGGGTTGGGGGGTATAGCTGTGTGATTCTTTGCTCACTGTATGTTTTTTACTAGTAACAATTTTTGCCAATCTTATATTGATGTCATTTTCTTTTGATTTTGTTTTCAGGAAATAATTATTTTTAAGCAACCTGGTGAAAACTTAGGAATGAGTATTAAAGGTGGCGTTAAAAACTACGCCACAGGCTTAGAAGTGAAGACTGATGAAGGAACGTTTATATCTCGGGTAAGACATAGTTATACCCATCTAGTGTGTTACCACTTAATGTCACATTGGTTAATATCACATGGAACGTTTATATCTCGGGTAAGACATATAGTTATACCTCTCTAGTGTGTTACCACTCAATGTTACATTGGTAAATATCACATGGTTGAAGAGAATTATGAAGATTAATGTCACATGGTTTAATGAGAATTCTGAGGATTAAAGTCACATGGTTTAATTAGAATTCTGAGGATCAATGTCACATGGTTTAGTGAGAATTCTGAGGTTTAATGTCACATGGTTTAGTGAGAATTCTGAGGTTTAATGTCACATGGTTTAATGAGAATTCTGAGGATTAAAGTCACATGGTTTAGAATTCTGAGGATTAAAGTCACATGGTTTAATGAGAATTCTGAGGATTAATGTTGCATGATTTAATATCATATTTCTTAGAACCGTTTTCTCTTTGTATTCTGTTAGTAATTAGTGTCTTTAATATCATGTAATTTAACCCCATATATTGGTGTGAAACAGACTAAAAAGCAGTTGAGATGGTCTTCACTGACCTACATTTGTTGTATTCGACAATGTGGATTTTCAGTAGTTAAAATTCAATTTCTCAGAAAGGAAAAAAAGAAAAAAAATGAAAGATGTTTTCCACAGAGGTGGTTGTTACACTTGTAGGCTGACAAACAACAGATGTCATCAATAACAATGTTCTGATTATTGAGTCATTTCTGGGCATATGGCCTTAGTTTTAATATTGTGGAAAATCTTCATTATTTATAATGTCAATTTATAATTTTTCTTTGTGATTTGATCAAGATTATGAATGACATTAACATTGTTATCATTCCATGAAAACCCCCCACATGTAAAGTTTATGTTGTGTGACAGATACATGATCATGGTGCTGTGAGTCGAGATGGCAGACTGAAGGTGGGACAGAGGATTCTCGAGGTAGGACATGCTGTCTCTAATAACTTTAGATTATTGTCTTACCGTTAAAAAATATGCTTACCAGCCTTTTAATAGAAAAAAGTTGTGGCAAAATCTAAAATGTCTTAAAAAGAATACTAAGTGATATTTGACCTGCATCTTGCTGTTGGGTTGATAGACTAAATAATTGACCTTGTGAAATGTATTGAACATTTTGGACATCTTCTTGTGAAGAACTAAAATGCCAAGTATAATCATATTTTAGCCTGTAGCTTGCAGGAGTAAAGGGTTGTTCAAATTCAAAGTTGTTCAAATTAATTATTAAATCCAAATATGACTGCAGTAGCGTCCTATTTGGCTGTTATTCTTGGCAGTTTAGGTTAAATTCATTTTGCAAACATTAAAAATTAACATGTGAGTAATACAGGACCCATGGGCCTCTTGTTTACAAGTACAACCTGGATACAGTCCGAGACTCAGCACATGGCAAAGTTTCATATTTTTCAAGGCATTGTTTTCCAAAATTGTTAATTTTGTTTGTTTGTGTAAACTGTTTGTAGAATTTATTTGATAATGTTATTACCCTTTTGTCTGTTTCCAGGTGAATGGACAGAGTCTTCTCGGCTCAACACATCAAGAGGCAGTGCGAGCTCTACGAAGTGTTGGCGACAAAATGGTGATTATGGTTTGTGATGGAGACGACGCGTCATTGTCAGACGTCCAGTCGCCCGACTCCCCGAATGCGCCGATGTCATTCAACCCCGCTCAGTCGTCCAACCGTGACTCCGTATCAAGTATCGATGTGGAGGATGAGGATACAGCTATCATCAAAAAGGTCAGTGTTGTTCCCGTCTCACAATCGAGCTGTTATCTCCCCTTTTGTCTGTCAGAAGGGAATAGCTCTCTTTAGATTCATTGACATTTTCGTTACTGGTTTTGTCAATTCAATCCAATTTAAAGGTCGGAGCTAAGGGGGAAAGTAAAACAGATTTTTTTGGGACATAAGGGTTGAAATGGTTTTCTGTTATCTACTAGATAGAAATTGGGAAAAATGTCTTGGAAGCTCCTTTTTAGGTATTTTTTGTTTTTAATCTACAGCATAATGACAACATTTTCCTCAGAGGAAATTAGAAATTTATTTTAAAAAATGGGAAAGTTCAGAAAAGTTCTATCAATGCTTGGACCTACATTTCAATTTTACATTTCAAAGTTGAGGTGAATGTGAACTAAAGGGGGAAATGTACTTTTTTGTGGAAAAACTTGACATTTGGAAGAAAAAACACAGAATTTTTGGTGTGTAAGAAAATTTTGGCATGTAATATGTAGAATAGCTGTTAATTGATTTTACAACTAAACATTTATGTAGACTGCATGTTTTTTTAAGCTACCAAAGCCTGATTTCTCAAAATACCAAAAGAAATACCTGCAAGGATCTTAACATGATATATTGATGGATAAATAATCTGGTGTGTTTAGTCAAATTAAGTATTTTTATGGCATAAGTGGAATTTATGAAATTTAATTAATACAGTTGAGAAATCAGGACCAGATTGTCTTTCTGCATGTGTTGTACCTATAGGGTTTAGCTAGCCCTGTTAATAGTGAAATTTTTCCAAATGCTTTGAGAATAAGTTGGTCTTCGAGGCCTTGACCATGAACTGCTGTTAATGCTTTGAGAATAAGTCGGTCTTCAAGGCCTTGACCATGAACTGCTGTTAATGCTTTGAGAATAAGTCGGTCTTCGAGCCCTTGACCATGAACTGCTGTTAACATTGCATTAACTTGTTAACACACCATTGTATTTTAAATACAAAACCTGTATTTCACCCTCCCAATATTCCTGGCATGTTTTCTCTCCCAAAGCTACTTTTTGTTTAACAATTGTTGATGTCGACTCTCTCCTTATTGTAAAATAAGCACTCCCTCCCTTATTCTGTACCAGTGTTAACTTCACGTCGCTCTGAATCTATAGTAATCCAAACTTCCTTTTTCTGTGGCAGTGTTAGACCTCGCCCTACAATAATCGGCCCTACCTTATCCTGTGTTGATGTTCGAATTAACCCTACAATAATGAACCCTCCCTTGTCCTATGTTGATGTAAGACCTCAACCTACAAAAATTGCCTCTCTCTTATCCTATATCATTGCAAGGCCCTTCTTCAAAACAATTGTCTTTCCCTTATCCTATGTTTAACCCTCCCTCGTCGTATATTAATGTTAGACCTCACTCTACAATAATGAACCCTCCCTTGTTCCATTAAGGCCTCAGCTTACAGTGATTGTCCATCCCTTGTCCTATGTTGATGTTAGGTATCACCTTATGGTAATGAACCCTCCTTTGTCCTATGTTGATATTAGGCCTTGTCCTTCAATAGTCGCCCCTCACTTATCCTTAATTTATTTTAGGCCTCACCCTACAATAATGAACCCTTCCTTGTCCTTTATTGATATAAGACCATGCTCAACAATAATGGCCCCTCCCTTAGCCTGTATTAATGTTAGGCCTTGCCATACAATAATGAACCCTCCCTTGTTCTATGTTAATGATAGACCATGCCCAACAATAATGGCCCCTCCCTTATCCTATATGTTGATGTTAGGCAACACAGTACAATAGTGAACCCTCCCTTTTCCTATGTTGATGTTGGGCCTGCCCCTGAAGTTATCACCCCATAACCCTCCCTTGTATGCCTCACTGCATGATGCCCTTATGTTGTTTTGTGTTGTGTAGGAGCAGGAAGGGATTAAGGAGACTGAGCGCTGGGAGAAGGAGGAGGAGGAATTGAGGGTAGGTAGGATGGGGTCTCGGCCATCCTTGTACACATCCCATACACAGTCTGGATATTTTGACAATATTGGACAACCTTGATCTGTATGATCAGGTTTTAAGGTCAGAGTGAAAGTGGAACCTACTGAACAGATACTATTGACTGCTTTGCTAAATAACATTGAGTTTCCTAATGGCATGGATTTTGTTGTTGTATTTTTGCACATACTAATGCTAGATTGTAGAAGTGTATTACAGGTCCACCGTTGCATGTTATATAAACAATGTTGTAGGGAACCAATTGTCAAAAAGAAAGAAAAAAAACAGTCATCTCTCTTTGACCACCCAACAGTCTTGCGTGTCATGACATTGATGAGAGTTTTGCAGGAGAAGTGTGTAAGGATGTGATTGTAAGAGACTCTGGCGGCTTTCAGGCCTACATCTTACAGAGGCCATAAAAGCAGCTGGGATATATATATAAATACATGATTGAAAATCAGGTCATTAAAGCTGACGGTGCAAGTTAAAAAGCTTTCAATTGAGATTAAAAAAACAAAGTTTGTTTTTCTGGTTTAGAGATCTTCCCCATCTCTTCCTTCTACCGTAATGCGCTTTTTATACCCAGCGAGACCCAAACTCCTTACCAAGCAAGGACAAAACTAAAATGTTAGCACTTCCTTAGAAACGATAGTCAGAAGATATGGGGGAAGATCTCAAAACCAGAATTTTTTTTTTTAATTTCAATTGAAAGCTTCTTAACTTGAACTGTCAGCTTTAAGTTGTGGTCATAGTTTTAATGCATAAACAAAAATTAATACCAACAAGTTTCTTCTCTCCCAACCCCACCCTCAACCCCTGCAATTTATAAACAAACATGTCAGTAAACTTCCCCAAATATTGAGCAAGGGTCCCCCCCCCCCCCAAAAAAAAAAAAAAAAAAAAAAAAAAAAAANATAAATAAAATGTTGTACACCTGTGATCATATAAAGTTATTTTTCTACAGAACAAGCTGTTAAAGGAGCGAGAAGATTCGTTGAAGGAAGAAAGTCAGCTGCCTGACAACAACCAGAATACAGAACTCTGCACCTCTACACTAGTGAGTACCAAATACTCGTAAAACTCTCAAAAATCCAATGTTATACTTCGTATTGTTGTCATAGGATATATTGTATAACGGGAATGATTATTTTTCGCCTTTTATGTTTTGACGAATTCTCCCTCATTACGGAATCGAGAAATTTTGACCGAAGATTAATTTTTGCCCTTTATGTTTTGACGAATTCTCCCTCATTACGGAAGGTGATTCCGTAATGAGGGAGAATTCGTCAAAACAAAACAAAAATTGCAAACATCATTTAAATAGTAACAAAACATAAAAGGGAAAATTTAATATTGGGTGAAAATGGACTTTACTGTGGAAGGGCAAAAATGACTCAGTATATTGAAAAGAATGTATCAGTATTTTGCAATATTCCTGTACAATAATACTTTGTGTTTTAAGAAAATTGCTGTTTTTGGGTATCCTTTTTAGGTCACCTGAGACAAAGTCTCAAGTGACCTATTGCGATCGCCTTTTGTCCGTCGTCGTTCGTCCTCCGTTGTCCGTCGTGCGTCCGTAAACAATTTACATTTTCGACTTCTTCTCCAAAACCCCTGAAGCAATTTCAATGAAATTTTGCAGAAACCTTACATGGCCAAAGGTCAACTAAAACTGTGAATTATATGGTCCCCAGCCACCAGGGGCCTGAGGGGAGGGGCCAAAAAGGGTAAAATTGACTAAAATTTCAAAAATCTTCTTCTCAAGATCCAGATATGGTAGAATCAAATACTCTTCATAGATAGAAGGGTCTTAAGGTGCTTTCCCAAATTTGTGAATTTCATGACCCTGGGGTCTCACGTTTCCCCCTGGGGAGGGGGTAAACTTTACTATAGTTTACATAGGGAAATCACATTTTAGACTAACATTTGTTTAATTGCCATTGGAAGTAATTCAAGTTGGGTTAGAATTATCAGTATTGGATAGCAGTTTGATGGTATGCACATATCAGCCCTGACTGACTCCCCGGGGCTGAAGGGTGGGGCCAAAAAGGGTTGAATTGACAGAAATTTCAAAAATCTTCTCAAGACCCAGAAATACTCTTCATAGATGGAAGGGTCTTAAGGTGCTTTACCAAAATTGTGAATTTCATGACCGTGGGGTCTCGCGTTTCCCCCTGAGGAAGGAGGGGAGGGGGGGCAAAATTTGTTATGGTTTTACATGTTGATAACTTGATTAGAATTATAACCCTAAGTTGACAGTTTGATACTTTGTAAATTTTGAGCCATCCCTACCCCCAAGGGCTGTAGGGTTGGGCCCAATGTAGGCTGTGTGCTAAAACAAAATTTCTTCATTTTCCTTGTTTAGAATCAGAGGTGCTAGTTTCAAATACTTTTCAGTCTTAAATCTGTATGCTAGATATTGAATAAGGTGGTTTTATTGTTTTTTTGTCACTTTGAATAATATTTCTGTTCATGTTAAAAACAAAAATCAACTCTCTGTATAAATATATCAGGTGACCGTTAAGGCCCATGGGCCTCTTGTTTGAGAAAATTTTAGGTTTAAGTTTTTGAGAAAAAAAATCAGACATTGTTGGATCACAGCAGTAGAGTGGCTATTGACTTTTTATGAGGTTGAAGCATTCAATATGGCGTGTAGGCATCAGAGACTTGGTAAAATTTGTGTCAGTATACATCACGAAAATTAACTTGAGTGTCTTTTACAGTTTGAAAATGAAATAATGCGAGTTAAATAAACGGGATAAACAACCATGACTCCTTTAGGAATATCTGTTGGTAGGTTATCTAAAGTACCCATTTGGTTTTCAGTGAAGGCCTGAAAATTGTCAAAGAAATTATAATTACATCTTCAGGGAAAAAATATTAATGTATTGCAACATTTATCATTTACAGACCTCAGAAACTGTGATGAAACAAGTGCCTCAGGAAAAGCCGCCGGTCGCCAAAAAACCGGATGTCGTCCCTGTGGTAAGTACTCCTTGCCGTCTCTGATAGCTGATGGTCTGTCTGGCCTCGGGCCATCACCGACCTAGTCCTCGTCATCATCATCATGGTCATCGTTCTCATCACAGGGATAATTCAACCACTTTTATACGAAAGGGCATCCTTGTGCCAGTAAGGTGCATTTATCGACCTCAAATCATTGAACATCCTTGCATAATCATCGTATTGTTGGCTGTTACCTGTTGTTGTGAGCCTCAGTTGCCCTTTTGTCGGGAGACAGAACTGATCTACATCAAAATCATCCGTTTCTTTTATCACCCATAGTATCTCCAACTTTTTCCAATTTTTTCTTGAAATTATTTTACTATACATGGTGCATGGTCTTGTTATTTCATCTTGAAACAACTTCTAAAAAACCATCTGGTCAAGGGTCATGATAGGTTTCGTGTAGTCTACTGCAAAGAGGGCCATATACTTGGTTAAAATAAGTTACCTTGACCCACTTTCAAGGTCTATGGTCAAAATTTTGAAAATCTTCAAATGACTTTTTTGGATAATTCATATGGCCTAGAATTTTGATATTTGACTAGAGCTTGCTAGGATGAAGTGCTAACCAGTTTGTTTTTGATAAATATTTCTGATTTACTCTGCCATGCTAACGGTTTCTGCTTTACTTACCCCTTATCATGGTCATGTCTTTGTGTGTTTGAAATTGCTTTAAATGTGATATTTTTCATTTCTTTTCTATCCCTCCCCCATTTCTTTGCTCTCTAAGTATAAGAACATTTAAAGAAATGATGTTTTTGATAATATTTTCTGTGCTCTCACGAAGTAAAATTCTTTGGGGGAAAAAGTTAAGCAGTAGGGCCTAAGTGTAATAATACCATCTTCTTAGGAAATCATCATTATTTCCTTTTATCAATCTTTTAACTGTCAATTGCATTATATTCTAAACGGTCATTTGTATCATGCTCAAATAGTCACTTGTATTACACACCAAATAGTCACCTGGGCCCGTATTCATGAAACCTTTTTCATGCCCAAGTATGGATTTTGTGCTCAAGCCTAATTTCTTGTTCTGTTCATAAATTCATAATGGAATCTTATTTTGTCAATGACTTGGGGGGAAAATGAAGAGACTTAAAGCCAAATACTATTTCAAGTGTTTACGTTTGACTTTTTGATCGTTTGACATGATTTAAGTGAGTTACGAGAAAGTTGGTTTGAGAACAAAATCAATGCTTGAGTATGAGAACGGTTTCATGAATATGGGCCCTGTATTACACACTAAATAGTCCCCTATATTACACACTAAATAGTCCCCTGTATTACACACTAAAGAGTCTGTTTCATTAAGCTCTAAACCATCACTTGTGTTGTGTCAAAACAGACACTTTTATTATTCTCTTACACTCACTTGTATTCTCACACTAAACAGACAATTGTATCACACACTAAGTGGATGGTTCTACATCCTCGATACTCCAGGGGTTACGCTCACTTTCGCTCTCTGCACCCCTGGAATATGTCATAGGAAAATTGAAGGCTCAGTGTGTACCACCTTGTGGATGAGACAAGAAGACAAGTTTAATCCTTTGATGTACATCAAAAGAATCTCACGGTCCGGTAATGGTAAAATTGACTGGCTTTGAAGTCGTGTGGCTCATCAGTAATCTTCAGAGGACAGGTATCAGCCTAGCGATTGGTCAGTAATTTTTTTACCCTAGACCAATCCAATACCTAGCTGTGTGTCTTCGATTTTGCTATGACATATTCCAGGGGTGCAGAGAGCGTAAGGGAGCATTTCCAATTTCCAGAAGATGTATTTCAACTACTGAAATAAAGAGCTGGAAATTGGAAGGATCTTCCTCATGTCTCAGTACAGTAGTAAGCCCAGGAGTATCGAGGATGACGGTTCTATTACACACTAAACAGACACCTAATCACTTAATCACTTTATCACGGTGACTGTGTCACATACTTAACACTAACAGTTACATTAGGATGTAAACATTGAAGATTTGCTAGTATAGCTCTAAGCACACAGGTATTATTCATCCAACTATAAACAGTCTCTCAATCTATATTCATTATTTCCTCACTCTTTAAAAAGAGTCTTTTCCCAAAAGATATCGCCATATATTTTATGTCTTATATATACCCTAGGTTCATGCATGTTTGATTTCCTACATTGAATAATTTTTCTTTTTGTGTGATTTTCTTGTATTGTTTAGAAATTTGATACAAATGTATTGAACAATGGATATAGTCTTCATTGTTTCATAGAATAAACATTAATTTCGCTAGACTTCAGTATTTCAGCATAATTATGATTAGGACAATATTTAATTATTTGTATAGTTATTTTCTAGACCCTGATTAAAGCATGCTCATACAATTATAGAAATATTCAGTCAGTTTTATTCTCCTAATTTGATGAATGCATCTGTTTCATTCAGTCATGAAATGAAATTTTGTTTTGCTTTGAATTTCGCAGTATGATTGATGCATGTATTTTCTTTCAAAGATGAAGAAGTTATTTTTACTTTTTGAAGTATACAATAAAACTTGTGCATGTTATACTCTATCAGGGCTTTTTCTAGGGTGTCTCAGGTGCCTGTTATTGGCAAGGCCTTCATGATAGAAAATTGTTATTTTTCCCTCTGATTTGACTCGCTCACCCCCCGAAGACACATTTGAACTCTTCCAATTCAAAGGATGGAATAGATCATTATGAAATTTCAGGGGTGAATGAGTTCATGTTCATATTTTACCCTGAAAAATGAAAAGAAAAACAAGAGGGGGGAAAATGTATAATATATGCAAAAACATAACTAGGTATATATTTAAATGTAGATTTCTTTTACAGTTTTGCAAATATTAGTTCAGATTTAAAGACAAAGCATAGCAAGCTTGTTTGTCCTAATGAGGGTGTGGATAACGACATGTCAGATGCCATTTATTTAGACATTACCCATCAAACAAAACTATTTGGCTATTTTTTCTACCACGACAAAAAAAACTTAAGGTATCCTCCTATCCTGAGTTTCCAAATATTGAGCAGTATATCAATCTGAAAGATTACAATAGTCACTTCATCAGCATAGTAATGTTTTATTCAACATTACTTCAGTGACAGATCAATTTCGGTTGAAGAAGTTATCTAATATAATCTAACCAGACAACTTCATGAAAGTTTTTAATAAAGAACGGAAAAATCTAGAATATTGCAAAATAAATACTTTCAAATTATTTTGGCTTCCTAATAGACTTCAGATAAAATAATGTACTGATGAAAATGAAGAATATTTACAATTGTTCAAGTTATTCAGTCAATTATTATGAGTGGGTTAGGGATGTTTCACGACGTAGCTAGAAAAAGCCCTGTTACTTTTGTTACCTGAATGACTATTGAATGATGGATGTGAAGTCATGCATGGATTTTTCAGTTTTTCCTTGTTTTCTCTAACCTTATTTCCTATTAGCCTGCTCCAAAGCCAGTAATACCACCCAAAAGGCCACCAGTTCCGCCCAAACCAAGCAACATTGGTCGGCCTGACGACAAAGCCTTCGCTCTTTACGACCCGATTAAACAATCGCGCGTACCGTCTGCTTCTCAGAATCTCAGCAAGGTAAAATGGCCGACCTTCACTTGGTCAAAACAGCATTGAAGTGTTTTCTGTGTCGTGTTTTTGTTTGTCACGGTGTTGTTTGTGTGTCGTGTTTTTTATGTTTTATTTAAATATTAAACAGGCTATGCAATAAATAATTAGGTACAAATTATTCTGCTGACTCTGCCTATACTTGTGCATTTAGATATATTAATGGTAGTTATAGAGTTAGAAAAAGAATTCAGCTTAAATAAAATTGCAGCTTTTTAGTTTTCTATGCGCAGCAATGGATTTCTTCATCGAAGACTTGAGAGAAATCTTTTAGAAATAATAAAGTTCTTTTCTTGGTGAACATCCCATTCAGAGAAAATGTTATGTGTTCAAAACTGTACAGAATATCTGATGAACTCCCCATAATGATGAATCACTGTGAAAAATAATTTTAGAAAAGTTTTATAAACAATTGTCACATGAAACAACTTCTATTTACACAAATAAAAACATTTCCAATATGAAACAGAAGTAAAACATTCCTATATCTGATTATATCAATTGAATATATCCAAGTAAGGAAAGTACTATTATTGTTATGTATTTTTTTGGTTTATTGAAATGTTTTTTGAATCTAGCCATCCTTTGCAAATATTTCTCAAAAATTGTATTTTGAGAATTCACGTTAACTTATACCTAACGAGGCTTTGACCAGCTGGCGTCTGGATTCTAACACTAATTACAAAAAGCTTCTATAACCCAGCAATTTAACATTTTCAGCACTTTGTATGAACACATTTCAAACACACATATTCAAAAGAGCCTTACCGTGAATCTCCTATTAACATTGAATTGACAGTTATCTGCAGTGACCTAGCAGTCTGTTTTAGAATGAATGTCAAAGGTCACCCTGTTTTTCATTTGAAAGGTCATTAAAAAGGTCATTTCTACCATATCGATGATCGAGATCAGTATTTTGAAAAAGCAGACAAGAACATGCAATTTTCAGGAAAGTGATAATTTCCTACTAGTGTGAGTTTTACAAGATTTATAACCAATTTGTTATTTATAGTTAATTACCGCAAGAATTGTAACCGATCCCTACTCAAAACTGACCTCCATGTAGCTTGTTATCTGTCGCTACTCAAAGATGTGGGTATCAGTCAACTACACAGAACAAAGCTCCATGATCTCTTCTCAAATTTAAATGTGTAGGGCTTGTTATCAGTTACTATACAGAGCTGAAATCCTTGAGACTCATTACCGGTCGTCTTTAAGTCAGTCATCTGGAGTAACAAATCAAGTGTTTCCATAAACAAGCAAGATTATAGATAGGATAGAAAATGTTTAAGAAAGCTTTTACAAAAATTATTAATTACGAGTGGCTTTGAAAAATGAGTGTCACATGATCATAATGAGTGTCACATGATATAATGAAGGTCACATGATATAATGAGTGTCACATGGTCTCTAATGGGTGTTACATGATTTCATCTGAGGCTGTAATGTTATTTGATTAGTGGGTCGACAGATACAAGATAGAAGAGGTTTTAATTAGGTTGTTCAGCTTGGCTGTGAACCGAGTCATGGACGTATCACTCACGGAGGCCTTCCATTACATCTGTTTAAGTTAAAATCAATGGCAACTCTTCTCTTTCTATTTATATCAAATTATCCTTTATCAATTTAATTGTATCATTCATTCATGGATAAAACAGACAAAAAATATTGAGGACAAAAATAATGTACTGTTTGTGTGTGGCGTTGACCTGCTTACCCACTTAAAATTCTCTTTCCAATATGATATTGATCTTTTTTTAGCTCACCTGGCCCGAAGGGCCAAGTGAGCTTATCCCATGGTGCAGCGTCCGTCGTCCGTCAACTTTTTCCTTTAAAATGCTACTTGTCCTGAATGGCTCAGAGGATTTTGACCAAATTTGGTCAGGAGCATCATTGGCCAAAGGGTTCTCAGTTTTGTATAAACGGAGGGTATAACCCCCCTGGGGGCAGAGGGGCGGGGCCAAATAGGGGAAAAATAGGTAAATCTTTAAAAATCTTCTTCTTCTCAACCAATAGAAGGATTTTGACCAAATTTGTCCTAGAGCATCTTTGGACAAAGAAGACTCAAGTTTGTATAAACGGAGGGTGTGGCCCCTCTGGGGGCGGAGGGGCGGGGCCCAATAGGGGAAATAGAGGATTTTTTTTCTCCTGCTATACAAGTGAAGGGATTTTAACCAAATGCAGTCTGAAGCATGATTAGGGACAAAAGAATCAATTTTGTATAAACTGAGGTGTGTGGGCCTCCTTCTAAGGGCAGATGGGTGGGGCCCATTAGGGGAAATAGAGGAAAACATCAAATATCCTTCTCCTTTTGTACCGATGAAGGGATTTTGACCAAATTTGGTCTGGAGCATCATTGGCCAAAGGGTTCTCAGTTTTGTATGAACGGAGGGTATGGTCCCCCTGGGGGCAGAGGGACGGGGCCAAATAGGGGAAAATAGGTAAATCTTTAAAAATCTTCTCCTCAACCAATTGAAGGATTTTGACCAAATTTGTCCTAGAGCATCTTTGGACAAAGGAGACTCAAGTTTGTATAAACGGAGGGTGTGGGCCTTCTGGCGGCATAGGAGCGGGGCCCAATAGGGGAAATAGAGGATTTTTTTTCTCCTACTATACAAGTGAAGGGATTTAAACCAAATGCAGTCTGAAGCATGCTTAGGGAGAAAAGAATCAATTTTGTTTAAACTGAGGTGTGTGGATTCCCCTTCTTTGGGGCAGATTAGTGGGGCCCATTAGGGGAAATAGAGGAAAACATTAAAGATCCTTCTCCTTCTGTACCGTTGAAGGGATTTTAACCTAACCAAACTTGTTTTAGAGAATCTTTGGGCAAAGGGAATTGAATATTTATAAATGGAAGATGCAACTTTGTTACTTGTACTCCTTTGATAAACCTGAATGGTACTCAGCAGGTTTTAAATTGAAAAATAAAATACCAGGTGAGCTATTAAGGCCCCTGGGCCTCTTGTTTCTTACAAAATTATTTTAATTTCTTTTCTTTTTGAAGTATTATGCAACTCAGCATAGTATGTATCACTTATTCCCAAAGAAAAGCCTTATTTTTATGAGACAATGACGGAAACAAATTGTCACCGACTACCTTCCTATACAAATTGGGAAATAAAAAACAGACAGCATTTAGGCAGGGTCTGATCCTTATACTGTTAACAGACTGATGAATTTAGTTTCACTTACAGAACATTTTATTATGCATTGCAGGATAAAAAAATATTGATCGTTAAAATATAGGGTGTCATTTTTTTTTCTGAATTAAAGGTTTACAAAATCATGATAAGTACATTTAATTGATTGGAAGAAATTAAAAAAAAAAGAATAAATATTTGGCAATAATATACCCAGTTTGTTTTCTTCAAAATAAATTTGTTTGTAATCATTGTAAAAAACACTAAAAACTTGGTGATCAAAATATTCAATTGCATCATTTATTTTTTATATTTTTATGCAAAATATTTCATTGTCTGAAACATTCAGAAAAAATATACGAACAGATGGACTATTGACGATATGCTAATTTCCATTGTTGTCATGGAAACCCAATATGAACGGTGCCTACTCAGTGTTGAGTTAAATTCACATGTCATATTAGACAATGTCCAGACAGCATTAGGCATATTAATTAAAACCCTGAATGGGAAATATGTTATTGATCTGATGGCAGTGTGTCTGACTCATGCAGACTCTTGAACCACATTGCCTCGTTGCTACTGTTTGCAGTCAAAGTGATGTGTTATTTCGTTGATGAGATATAAAATATTTTTGACAATAAATGAATTAATTATTGACGACTGCTTTTTATCCAACATAATATGGATTTAGGATATGCTATAAACAATCTGCCAAAATCCCCAGTTTATTAATAATCAATATCAAGATAATCAAAAACAGTTTTACAGTTTTGTTATCAAAATAATCTTAAGACCGTAAGTTGTGATTTAGGGGACACACCAGCTTCAACTCTGTATGTTGAAACCAGCTTCTAGTCTCTAGAAGGATTGGTGACACGTCTGTTGACAGAGTTCTTAGTCTGTGGAAATGGTAACACAAGCTCTTTGTCTCAAGAAATGTTGACACACAAGCTCCTAGTCTGTGGAAATGGTAACACAAGCTCTTTGTCTAGAAAGGTTTACACACAAGCTCCTAGTCTGTGGAAATGGTAACTGTAAACACAAGCTCTTTGTCTCTAGAAATGTTGACACACAAGTTCCTAGTCTGTGGAAATGGTAACACAAGCTCTTTAAGAAAGGTTTACACACAAGCTCCTATCCTGTGGAAATGGTAACACAAGCTCTTTGTCTGTGGAAATGTTGACACACAAGTTCCTAGTCTTTGGAAATGGTAACACAAGCTCTTTGTCTAGAAAGGTTTACACACAAGCTCCTATCCTGTGGAAATTGTAACACAAGCTCTTTGTCTAGAAATGTTGACACACAAGTTCCTAGTCAGTGGAAATGGTAACACAAGCTCTTTGTCTAGAAATGTTGACACACAAGTTCCTAGTCAGTGGAAATGGTAACACAAGCTCTTTGTCTAGAAAGGTTTACACACAAGCTCCTAGTCTGTGGAAATGGTAACACAAGCTTCTAGTCTGTCGAAATGGTAACACAAGCTCTTTGTCTCTAGAAATGTTGACACACAAGTTCCTAGTCTGTGGAAATGGTAACACAAGCTCTTTGTCTCAAGAAATGTTGACACACAAGTTCCTAGTCTGTGGAAATGGTAACACAAGCTCTTTAAGAAAGGTTTACACACAAGCTCCTATCCTGTGGAAATGGTAACACAAGCTCTTTGTCTGTGGAAATGTTGACACACAAGTTCCTAGTCTTTGGAAATGGTAACACAAGCTCTTTGTCTAGAAAGGTTTACACACAAGCTCCTAGTCAGTGGAAAGGTTTACACACTAGCCCCTAGTTTGTAGTTTGATTTATTCACCAACATTGCAATTTCTGTCAATTACCATAAGAGAGCACTGGCAAGCCCTATTAGACTTGACGTGGGATTTAGCACTAGAAGCATTATGCAGGTTTGTCAAATTTTCTTTGTTTTTCATGGGTTTCAAAAGAGCTGCGGTAATTATTTAATGTTTAGACAGTTATTAGTTTAATTACAACTCGGGCTAAAATTGTCGTAATTATTTTGGCTTCCTCCCTAATGAACATGGTGATTGGATGGAGTTAAATGTGTGTCTTTGTTGGAGCTACAATGTGTTGGAGCTACAATGTGTTGTAGTGTAAAGTTTGTATAGACTAAAGAGGGATAGACGGATATGTTGTGATATTGAGGATACTCAATGACAGTATGGATAGAGTTACTGGGTTTTTCTTCATCAACATTAAATTTAATCACTTTCTTTCATTTTTTTTTTTTCTTCACAAAGAATAAAACATGTTCTTTTCCTTAAATCGCAAATTATTGTCATTTCACAAATAAAAGATAATTTTCAGCCAATTGCATATTTTTGTGGCAATGCTGCAGAATATCAAAATTTTATGGAAATTAAAGTCTCCCGAATTGTTGCAATTGAAAACAAAAAATGGTTTTAGTTTCGAGTCTGTTAACAGATTTATATTTAAGATTAAAAATAACCTAACATTGTCTTTTTTGTAAATATTATAGAAAATGTTCAGCAATATCTTGATTTTGTTTATTTTTGGGCTGAGTTCTTGTCAAATTCATCACATTTTTGTTGTGATATTCTTAAATAAATACTACATTATTCAGCAGAATATAGCAGTTGTTAATTCAATTTGTTGAAGTGGGGGAAAAAATGCGACATTTATACCAGAATGAAGTAAAATTACAATAATGAATGGAAATTAATATATCTGTTGAAATCAAATAGCCTCCGATGTTAGAATTAATGATTTAGTTAAGCTGAAGGCATGTCTCATATTTGTGTTTAAAATGTCGTTTATGTAAACTTGCAGACGAATGCCCAAATATATGAACCACAACAACGGTCCTTTTCTCAAATGAAGCATTATTTTGAGAAGGAAATGCAAGAGACGACAACTGCGAACCAGCCTCCTTGTAAGTACCTAGCTATATAGCCAGATCTCAGTTCCTACACAGTTTGGACTTTGTTGTTCTGAGGCACATATTCCGTCTTTTCGTATTGCAGAGTTATCTGCTCTTGTGAGCAGGGATTGATTGTTACGTCATTTGTTTGTGAGAGTAACGTCATCAAATTTTGAGAAAACAACGTAATTTTCTCAAACAAACCAATGACGTAACAATCAATACCTGATCACAAGAGAAGATAACTCTGCAATAAGCAAAGACGGAATAGCCAGATCACAGTTCCTACAGAGTTTGGACTTTGTTGTTCTGGGCCACATATACCTTTATCACCATGTTACAGTGTTTTTTCTACCTAAATCATGCAGCATTCATTCATGAATTGGGTAAATAAAGCATTATTTTTACTGGAATTGGGAAGATATTCCTCATTGTTTTGGTTACTATGGAAAATCAAGGCTCTATTTGCCAGGGGACGCAGCCTGTATTTGGCTGTAAAACTAGGCAAAAAAACAATGTTTATGCAGAATATTTCTATGGCAGAAACTAGTAACTTTACTTTTAAGTATACACTATTTATCTCAAAGTCTAACAGTCAGCTAACTTCATGTGTAGATATATATTTAGGAGTGCTACACCGATAATCAAATGACCTATATTTTTCGATTCACTAACTTAAGTTTCATGTATGTTTAGTATGTACATTTTCTAGTTCCAAAAAAGATTTCGTTGATTGTGGGTTACACAAATTAGTTTCTTCATGCAAAGTTATAACAGCAAGATGCAGGCCCTCTGACATCGCAACCATAAATGAATTGTGAAAGACAATATAATATTATTGCAAAAATGAAAGTTGACAGATTTCAGTGCCAGAAAGTAAACCAAGAATTACCTAAGGAAATATTATTGTTTCCCTTTTAGCCAAACAGTTCAGCTACCTGTCAGAACATGAGTTGGAGCGGATGAAGACGGAGGAAGGTAAGTGATCAGGCTCACATGTTTACCATTGTAGTGCTGAGAGAGATCTCAACCAAAATTACTATGCAACAAGTAACACAGACCATCCATGGTTGGCCATTATGTCTCAGAGTATTTGACAGGATTTGAGCCAAGATGTGTGTTGATAGGTACTTGTTTGACTATCAGTGTCTTGGTTTATGTGAATCAGATGGGAGAGGGCCTAGTAAGTTGTAGTAAAAACTTGTGCCCAATCCCTTTGACTGTTTAATGTCAATAAAATCTGTTTGAATGGGTGTCAGATCTAGACAAGGTCTTGGAGATGTTGCTTAACTTCAGGCAACCCTTTGTAAATTATCAAGTTTCAAATTAATTAGTCCAAAAGATCATCTGTAATGGAGGTCAGTGTCAATTTATGGTGGCATGTTTCCTTAACCACAATTGTTTTTCAGGGAAGTCACTCTTGCCCAATGAAATGGCCTTTCATACCAGTTTAACAGACACAGTCACTGAAATATCACATAGAAGATTTATCTTTAAAGTAATAGAAACTCACTACAGATATAACATACTGGCATCATAATTGTATTTTTGCAGAGAAAAAAGCCAACAGCATGTCAAAAGAGGAGCTCTTGTCCAGTGTTACCGGCAACGTAGGCAGTTCATCACAGGAGCAAGAGTACAACCAGGTGCTTTCCAGGTAGACCACTAGGGGGCACCACTGTATTGTTGTATGTTAGTCCACTAGGGGACACCACTGTATTGTTGTATGTTAGAACACTAGGGGGCACTACGGTATTTTTGTAGGTTAGACCACTAGGGGGCACCACTGTACTATCATAGGTTAGACCACTAGGTGGCACCACTGTACTATCATAGGTAAGACAACTAGGGGGCAACACTGTACTATCATAGGTGAGACCACTAGGGGGCACAACTGTACTATCATAGGTTATACCACTAGGGGGCACCACTGTACTATCATAGGTTAGACCACAAGGGGGCACCACTGTACTACCATAGGTTATACCACTAGGGGGCACCACTGTACTATCATAGGTTAGACCACTAGGGGCACCTCTGTATATCAGTGGTTGGATCATTAGGAGACACCATCTTATAGTTAGAACTCCATCACCAAAAGGAGGTGCCCCTAGGAGGTATTATCTAGACAAATGAGACTAATATGAGGTCAACATTTGGACTTGCAAACAAGAAAAGAAATAACAGACTAATGGATGTAGTTTTGGAGTTTTCCTCCATGTCTCCCAATCTTCCTAATAAGAATTTCTGGACCATGAAAACATTTACGGTATTCTAAACATCTCCAGGGGATAATTGGGTTATGGTTACTGGAGGTTGAAATGTAACTTGTTTTTAGACTGATATTGTCTGCGAGGTTCCTTACCCTGCTAAACTGTCTATTATATCCCCTACAATACTAGCTGCATGGTTGCTTATGTATTTCTGTTTTGTTGACGTTAATGACTTGTCTGATATATCACATGACGTACTCTTTAGAACCCTCTCTGCTCTGCATTAACTGTTGACTCCCGTAACGTGATATTATTAACCAAACAGCTTTGGCCTCCTTGCGTGTAGTGTTCAGTGTTTCGAAATTGTGAAATTCCTTTTTAACCCTTAATTGGTGCTTTGTCTAATTATGTACGGGGGTAGTTGTGTCAATTACTAAAAATGGTTTAAGTTTAAATTCTGAGTTTGTTGTATATGATAACATGCACCACTACTTGAATTTTGTGAATTGATGGACAATTTCAACCTCACTTAAATATGATGGCAAGGGGTACTCCAACATGCAACAGAATAGCTGCCATTCTATGTAGCTGTTCAATTTAAAAGGTTAAGTTAGAATAATGATAATATTTGTTGAAAATGCTGACTATTTTCCACAAACTGTTTTCCAAAAGCTGTATTTCATGCAGAAATCATTAAAAATAAATTGGAATATGAACCAGCCTGTATGACATAAATTTGAAATTCCGTAAGGTGACGTTGCGATGAAATTGTCCATTAAACTGTTTATTTTATCACACGTGTTTACAGCAAGGTTAACAAACATTTGAAAAGAAAAGAAACAATTATATTCAATATACAAGTAATTTCACCATGGTACAACAGGAAATGTTTTAAGCAGTTCAGTGTCCTGAAGATGTTTTTGCGATATTTGTTCGTTTCAGACCGACACCTTTTAAGTCATCTCTACTGTTGCCACGGCCGTACTCTCGGTATAAAGTTTATAACTTGTTGGCTTGAATTACATCTCACTTCTCCTAAAAATCATCATCACTTCTCATCTTCAGTCAAATAATTCCCTCCACCATTTAAATATCAGCAAATCAAGTAGCTCCCCAGCTGCCATTTAAATATCATCCAATCGAAAAACTATCCCGCAATCAACCTACTGTTAATATCATCCAATCAAAAAGCTTTCCTGCTACCAACCTACCAGTAATATCAGCCAATCATAGAGCTACCCCGCTGTCATAGAATTATAAGCCAATCAAAGCTTTCTCGCTATCAACCTATCCATACTATCAGCCAATCAAATAGCCACCCCACTGTCATCAAAGTATTAGCCAATCATACAGCTATTCCACTATAAACCAAATATCAGCCAATCAAAAAGTTTCTCCGTAGTCATCCAGATATACACCATCAAATTTCTGCATAGAGCTTGCATTTCATGGTGTTTGCAAATATTGAGGGAAACATCTGATGTCATGTTGCATGTTTATGGATTGGGTTAATATAAGGTGTTGGTGAGACTGCAAATTGGGATTTATATTTTGATTAGATGTACAATTTCATTTTTGCATGATTGATTTAATAATGGTTAATTAGGAAATTTGAAAACTGGACCTTTTGGAAAGGTTTTAATTAAAGACAATGTACAGAATAAATAACTGCTATGATAGCTTCAAGTATCAAGAACACACCCTCCTCTGTTTTGACTCATTCACCCCTGAAGACACATTTGAATTCTTCCAATTCAAAGGTTGGAATAGCTCATTATGAGATTTCAGGTACAGGGGTGAATGAGTTTAATACAGGTTTAAAATCTGCCAATATAGCTTCCCTTCAGCTTCATACATTTCGAAGTTTTTTTGTCATATTCTTGCAATATAAATTCTTTTGCAATCCGAGAAATGCTTCTTCGAATTCCCTTTGTGTCACTTTCTCCGTACTATATTGAAAATACACACACAGTACCATATTTACTGATGAACTGATATGTGCAAACTTAAACAAGTCTCAATTATTTAAAACTACTTTGTTAAGATATAGATTCATTTTGTGACGACTTTCTTCATAAGATATATACTATTATCTGTTATTTAAAAACGTCACTCACAAATCTTCTAGTTCAGTCTAACTGAGGACCAGTCTTTCTGAATTAGTATTTCACTAAACATCTTACCTGTTGCTACATAAACACATCGATAAGCTAGTGAGTGTGTAGCCAAGCAAAGAACAGACAGGTGTGCCACAGACAACAGATTGATGAGGAACCCTGTAGTTAGGCATGGAATTTAGATATTTCATTTCTATTCCTGATCTTTCAACCAACCTTCTAAAAGTTCTGGGCCCATTTTCATGAAACCATTCTCATCCTCAAACATTGATTCTGTGCTCAAACCAACTTTCTTGTAACTCCCTTAAATCAAATGACATGGTAAAAAAAGCCTGGTGTAAACCCTGAAAATTATGTTTTGCTTCAAGTCTCTCACAAATTCTTCCAAAGTATTGTCAAAATGTGAAGTATTATAGATTTAACACCGGATCAAGACATCTAGCTAAAACACAAAATCTGAGTTTGAGTATGAGAGCGGTTTCATGAATACAGGTCCAGACCTCATCTGTTTGAAGGACACAAAACCCTGAAAGGAAAAGTCTTACTCACATCACTTAGTCTGAACTGATTGAAATGATAGTGATACATGTATGTATGTTGTATTACATAAAATTGGTCTACATCTGTGAGCCCCAACTTATGCTTGGAATTTTTCCCCCAACATGCCAACTTGTGATTGACAGTTTGCAGTTCAGGTAATTAACACCAGCACATATTTATCGTCATCGATGTTGTTGGATTTTTACTTTACCGTGGATCTGGGGATTGTACGACACAGCATGATTGTGTCTCTAGCTGTTGTCAAGAGGAGCATTGTTTGAAATTGAAACAATATGAAATATTTATAGACTTTTTCAGGTTCATCAGATAGACTTTGATTTTCCAGCTTTATATCGTATATATTTAGTGACCCACTTTTTCACCTGTTGTAATCGTTTCATTCATTTTTGCAAAAACTTCTTTTCTTGATTGTCTTTTTTATTGATTTGAATTAGTGAAATAACTAATAACTGATAATAAGATCTCTTGTGCTTAAATTTGCTTGAAAAAATATACGAAATATTTGAATTTGCAATGATCCTCTTACAAATGGATGTGAGTTTATGTAATACACAGAATTTACAGTGATTTAGGGGTAATTAGCTAAACCTAGTGTAATACATTTCTAGTGTGAAGGATAGAAGGGCAGTAGGATAGATCTACACAAGGTTTTCTGTTTAGATATATATAATTTGCAGAAAAAGATTTTTTTTTGATAATAACGAAAACGAAATTTCTCCCCTAAATCGCTCACTCAGTCATATTGTGATGGGGGCCAGTCGGTCTTGAAACATTGTGACACATTTAATAAATACATTGTTTGTGTACATACAGAAATCTTTGACATAGTATATATATTCCAAACCAATGAATCTTGTTGACCATACTGATGAAATGAATCTAACGCTGAACTTCAGAATTTGGCAAGGCTTATTTCTTTGTATGGTATTCTGCTGGATATCTATCTATACTGTCCACCGTCAAATAAAAACGACAAAATTACAGAAGACTTCAAATAGTAGAAAGATCTGTCTTGGACTTTTTAATGTCTGAGAGAGACTGAACAAATGTTACCAGCAGTATTAACTGTATCACTGTAGAATAGATGCTTTTTACTTTTCTGTCATATTGATGTTAGTTTGTGTATCTATGTACTATAAAATAGCTAGAACATATTCTCTTATTTAATATGATGTATTGCTATTCTGGTAAACTGTTAAGTAGAAAACCTTTTGATCAGAAAATAAATACTCAAAATATACATGAAATATACTTTATTTAAAGTAATGAGAGCACCATTAGGGATTTTAAGAACACATCTTGGAAGTTGATTGTAAAATTATGTATTTACCGGACTCATATTTATTGGAGTCTGGTGACGTTATTTCTTTAAAGTTGGTATATAAAATATCAAACAGAACTCTATAGTAACTCATCAAAGGGTGAGAGGAGAGCGGAACTCAAAAGGGAAATATTATTGTATTGAAGGGGACTTAACCCTTTCACCCCTAGGTAACTGTAATAAACTCTACCATGCATTGATCTGGATGAGTCCATTATGGTCTACAGTGGTAAAAGGGTTAAAAAAGATGTTTGTAGAAAGGTGGATTAGTGTTCCACCTTTAACCCATTCACCCCTGAAATTTCATAATGAACTATTCCAACCGTTGAACTGGAAGAGTTTAATGTGTCTTTAGGGGTGAATGAGTTAATGTAATGTATAGAACTATGTCTGATGTATTAACACATGTCGCTGTGTATGTTGTTATGTATTGATACGTATCACTCTGTTGTATTGACGCATCTTAAACATGTCACTTATATTTTAAAAATTCATTAATTGCCACTATATTTATAAGTGTAATACCAGTAGTGAGAAAATTCAGAGAAATTCACAGGTAAAATGGTTTGTAAAATAGAAGTAACAGCGAATGATATGCTACCTTACTCAAAGATATTCTTTGAAAAGTAGTTCCCCACTAAGAAAATTGTTAAAAAACAACACTTTTGGATTTTGAGAAAAGCAACGGTGAAGTAAAAGTTTCTATATTTTGGCATATACAAGTTGAAAGAGAAAATATTTAAATCAACCAGGTAAAATTTTAAGGTCAACGTTTTCTATAATATTAAGACATAACCGATGGTGTTTTAGCAAAATATGTTGGGTTTTTTTCATGGCTGGTAACCTTTAATTTTGAGTATCCATACTGATGATGTTACGGGTGAGATAACTCTTACATAAATCTCAGGTATAACGTGTAAGGTAGTGTGTATCATTAAAGTGTGTATATGTCTTATATATGTATTTGGCATGAGGAAACGTGCAGAGTTCATTCTAGGTGGAATATTTTTATTGAAATTTTGTACTCAATAAAGAAAACTGTTGAGGTCATGACTCCAACTCTGAACCTGTGAAGTGGAAGAGAAAATGATTTGTTTCAAATCTAACATCTTGTTTGCTTATATGTCTTTAATACCCTAACAATAAAATCTCCTGTATATTTGTACACTGTAAGAAAATCCTTGAATTAACTCTGCATGTACCTGTTGTTTGTGCCCTTGTGCAGCTGTTGTTTGTGTTGTATACCGTGTATGAGGCTGTCGTCTGCTTGCCTGCAGCATGTGTCTGGTCTTTGACTGTATCCTGTTTGTCTCTCCCAGTCCTAGCGGCAGTGTGGTGCGTACCGCAAAGGCCGAGAAACGTATGCAAGACCGACTGGCAGCTGAGGGGTCGGTGGGACCCGCGGGTGACCCCGTCTCACCTGCTGAAGAACGCCAGCTTCAGGCAGAGAAAAGGGCAGCATGGCGCAAGGCTAGGTGTGTGGCCCATGGTTTTAGTATATGTTGGGTTTGGTAAATGTGAAGCTTATTACTTGTGGCCGTGGTATATGTGGGAATTGTTTGGGTAAATGTGTGGTAAATGTGCTCCTTAAATGACGGGCTTAATTAGATATCTGTATATCTGAAATTTACTGTAGGTTTGCTAACAGTAAGGCTGAGGTTTCAGTAAATTTAAGGTTTACTGAAGGCTGGGTAGATTCCAGGTTGATTCAGAGCTCAGTAAATTTGGAATTTACTTAGTGCTTGGTAAAGTGAGGTGTACTGGGGCTCTCAATGTGGGTTTACTATTGGCTTAGTAAATGTTGAACTTTAGGGGGCTAAGTAAATGTAAGATCATTGGAGCTTGGTAAATGTTGTTTAATGTTTTGGGTTTGGTATATGTGGTTATTGTTTGGGGCTTTGGTTAACGTGTAACTAATAATAAGTGACGGGTATGGTCTGTTTCCTTGGACAGATACATCATTATTGAACTGTCCATGCATCATTACCACAGTGAAGGGGTGTATTACTTTTGTATTTCAAGCTATATCTGCAGGGCTATGCTCTTTCTCGCGAGTAGGAAAAAGAAAGACAACTTATCTTGAACTGTAAGAGGAAATTCAATGAAACTTTGAATTGTTCCATGGATTTCTATGAATCTTAAAAAAGCGAAACTTGGTATTTGTCATGCACTGCCGATATTATGATCCGGAAACTGATTTTGGTCGGTAATGCAAGGTATTACAAACACTTCTAGTTTCATTTTCACTCAGCAAATATAAGTTTAGACTACAGAATACTAATTGTCAAAAGTTATAGAGAGACGGTCATTTTCACTCAGCAAATATAAGTTTAGACTACAGAATACTAATTGTCAAAAGTTATAGAGAGACGGTCATTTTCACTCAGCAAATATAAGTTTAGACTACAGAATACTAATTGTCAAAAGTTATAGAGAGACGGTCATTTTCACTCAGCAAATATAAGTTTAGACTACAGAATACTAATTGTCAAAAGTTATAGAGAGACGGTCATTTTCACTCAGCAAATATAAGTTTAGACTACAGAATACTAATTGTCAAAAGTTATAGAGAGACGGTCATTTTCACTCAGCAAATATAAGTTTAGACTACAGAATACGAATGGTCAAAAGTTATAGAGAGATGGTCATTGTTTATTTCTATGTCAAATCTCAATGTTCAATGTGTTTATTGTGTAGTAGTTTATATGTGTAGGCTAGCCACAGACATCTAACAACACTGTTTATTTTCTAGTGTCAAGCACATTTAGATCAGTTGCACTTTCTGACTAATTTGTTGAATTAGAAGGAGATCTTGTTTTCAGGGTACCCAGTTATTCAACGTTGGGGCAGAAAAATAATAATTGTAGACTAGTTATTTATTACACGTGTTGATGTAAGAGGTATGATTGTATATGAGCAGAGTAGGGAATAAATTAAGTTCAAATAAAAAGGCTAATCATGTGTTCATTGACGATACAATATTTTATTCTACCCTTAATTTTACTGATATCTAAGTATTTCTCACGAGTGATATGCCATCTTAAATACTAATCAATTTCTTCGGCTTTTGATCCCTTGGTTTTGTTGGAGTTATCTTTCCTGACTTTCTCCTCCTTCTCAAAATCTCCACTAACTTTAGAGCAGATCTTATACGATAAAATTGAATCCTGATATAATATCAAATTGGCATGTGATTCAATTATCAATTCTGGTCAGATTAATGTAAGTCATGTGATTCAGTTACAGATTTTGATTGGTTAACGATATGCTACATGATTTGATAAGTGATTATATATTGGCCAGGAATATCAACCTTTGTATTCAGATACATCCTTGGCTGACAGGAGTGATGAATTTGATTTGTAGATCACTAATCAACACTTGGTTCCGTATGATAAATGAGATCTTTTGGTTTTTTTTGGCCTAACTTCAAACTTTTATATCAACATCAAAGAAAGGCAAATTTATATTAAGAAAGTCACTGAAAATAGTTCTAATAATGCATTTACCTCAAAAATGGGTAAATATTGATGTATTTAGTGAATGTGACGTCCGATACTACTTACCTATAACCCATGGAAACAGTTAATGAAAACCGTTGGTGAATCTAATACAGTAAGATTGAACTGTCATGTCACTTCTATCTGGGATTCACCAAAAGAAAGGCTACAAGATTTCAGGGTAGTATGTAATGCACTTATATTTGGAAAGAGGAAGTATTTTCATTGTGTTGGTGAGACGTTGACTTCCGCCGCCCGTGGTAGAGGTAAGATGAGCAGTGACGGGGACTACCACTGGCGGCCGATTTAGAAATGTATGTGGGGAATTGTAGCTGAGATTTTATAGCGTGTAGCTGCATGCTGACTTGGCTATTGCTGTGTGTGTTTGTAGGATGAATTCGTTAGAAGAAGACGCCATGAAAGCGCAGGCTGTGATCGTCCGAGCACAAGAGATGCATCATGAACTCGCATCTAGTGGAGGTAGGCTTAAACAATCACCTGCCACTACGCTGCTTCACATTTAGATTTTATTTGCAGAGCAAGATTTAAGTGGGTCTTTGTTTTCAGTTTCCAGATGATATCTTGCATGCTGGTCTGTTTGCATGAAATCAGCAACAAATAAAATGCATAATTATATCAGTAATTTTGTTTTGCCAAGTTTTACATACAGATAAAGGCTGTGTCCCCTAGCGAAAAAGTTTTACCTCCCAATTTCAATGAAAATAATGCTATATTTTCCCAATTCATGAAGGAACAGGTTGGTGTAAAATTTACGTAGAAAAAAAATGAATATTTGTTCATAGAACATATGAACATATTCATAGAATATGTTCGGCCATAGAACAAGATTCATTCTAAATCCAACAAAATAATCTGATTAAGCAATGTGTGCTACTAAAGTAGTTTTTGTTGTAACCCGAACTGTTAGCTCATTTGGCCTGAAGGGCCTATTGAACTTTAACTTTTTTCTTTCAAATGACTTCTTCTCAATAACCAAAGGCCTAGGGTGATGGTATTTTGCCAATAGAAAGCTGGGATGAAGGGCTACACAATTTGTTCAATTGAACAACCTTTAGGTTGACCTAATTTCACGGTCTCTGTGGTGAAATATGTTAAAATATTTAATCAACTTCTTCTGACTAAGTAAAAATCTCGGGGTGATGATATCTGGCCAGTAGCATGCTTTCCAACAATTTAAATAAGACAGCATTACCAACAGGAAAGATGTTTTATGATTTTCAATAGTAGATAGTACTCATTTCTGATATCTAAACCCATTCACCCCTGAAATTTCATAATGAACTATTCCAATCTTTGAATTGGAGTAGTTCAAATGGGTCTTCAGGTGTGACTAAGTTAAAGCAACGTCCTTGGAATGTTTACAGAATTACAGTTATATGTGTGTTTACTGACACGTTCCTGTGTTTCAGATGCTGATAAGGCTGATGGTCCAATAAGTCATAACGGCGAGCAGGTAAGTCCTATCACCATGGTAACCAGACTGTCTACCTGTCACATAGAATAAAGAATTTGTTGTTGTGCTGGCTCATTGGACCTTGCCAATTTCATTACAAAATTTAAAATGCTGCATGTTTTTGGCCAGTTACAAATAAAAAATCCTAAGACAAGTTGCTCCATCATTATGCCGACAAAAAGTTTGTAGGTAAAGTGTAATGGACACTGACTTGCCTCTGTAGTGTGAGTTTACCCTAGGACACTTTGATACCACTGCTCTAGATTGTATATGCCCCTACAAAACAGTGGAAGTGGCATTACAAGTTTCCCTTTCCTGTAATCCCTCTTCATAAGTTAGTACAGAACTACACCAATACATCAATGTAGGTCACTGACACCTATATTTCCTGTTCAACTGACTTTACTTTTACTTTTTTGTTGTAAAAACATTTCACTGATTACGTAGACTTTAAAAAACATTTTCTTGATATTTTACCTAATTTCATTGCTATGGCGATGTGGAGAGTAAAATCTCATTGTCATGATCACAGTTAAATGATTTTCTTACTGATTAGAAAAATGGGAGATTTAATCTTACATTATACTCATAAATAGGTTGTTTTTTTTAGGCCAGTACATTTCAGAATGGAACAAGTCTTCTAGGCGACTGACTTGTTGATATTTGTATGAACATCATGATTATGATGGAATATATTTAAGTGAAATGAAAAAAAAAAAATCTATGAGAATGTAATGTGAAGAAACCTGTGACATTTAGCTATAGGTGTTTGATACTGTTCGTTTTCATATTTACGCAGTCCCGCTATATTGGGGACAAAGTTCTGACTTTGAGTCGAGTCGAGGGCGACAAATCCGTAAAGGAATCATCACGATTATTGGATGAATGGGTCAGTCAAAAAACAATTGCTGTTGAAGATGAGGCTACCGGGAAAACGTCCTTTCGTACAATTCAAGTTGTAGAAAAAATTATTGAACACGAGGTATCGTTTCGTTTTTGCCTGTTCACCAGAAGTGGGACTATAGGTGGTGTTTTCACTTCTGCTCCACTTCTATTGCTTGTTATAAATAATTGGGTCAAAGGTCAGAGGACCCTGTTTGTTCTCTTGACCTTGTTATCTCCCCCTGCTTGTGTCTGCTGACTATCTCCTGTTTTGCCAGTTTCTGTTGTCATTTTTTGTTGGGTATTTGGGATACACAAGGATGATTGTTTTGTTGTAATTTTGGACTGTTTGTATTGCTGTATACCAGTGTACTGTCACCCATCCTTGATATACAGAGGTTACGCTCACTTGCGCTCTCGGCACCCTTGGAATATGTCATAGCAAAATCGAAGGCACAGTGTCCGCCACCTTATCTGGCGTGTAACGGTAAAATTGAATGGATTTGAAATCGGGTGTCGCTTCTCTGTAATCTTCAAAGGACAGGTATCAGCCTTGCAATTAGTCAAAAAGTGTTCCTGGCACCAATCAAATAGCTAGCAGTGTGCCTTCAATTTTGCTATGACATATTCTAGGGGTGTAGAGAGTGAAAGTGAGCATGACCCCTGGAGTATCAAGGAAGGCTGTCACAAAATTAATTAGAAAATGTTCAGCGGTAAAATCCATACTTGTCCTGTGTTAAATATCACCGTCTACTATGGTGAACACTTACTGGTATAAAGTATTAATGTAAAATTGAAATAAAATTGAATATTTTCATGTAAATCTCTGTCTATCTTTCCTACCCTCATACGCTCAGGGTTAACTCCTATTCCCCTCTGATGAATAAAAACAATAATGCTCCTGCCAAGATAACAACAATTCGCCTACAAGATCATATTGATGTTGAAATATGATAATCTATTATCATAGAAAGTTGTTAAAAATGATGATTTATAGGACTTTTATAGGACTTCCATAAAAATTAATATAAAAATGATCCATCATTCAAAAATAGTAGGTTGTTTTGGAGTTTTTGGGCTCTGGCTCCTTCCAAAATTATTCTTCTAGTTGTCTCTCTCTCACACAAAAAAGAAGAATGACTATCGGAGAAAATATGCTTTTGTGAAAATGTTATAAATTACAAAGTAAACTTTTTTCAACGAGAATCTATACTTCATGAACAAATTCAGTTAAATAAATTGAGTTGTGTGCAATGTCCCATTCTTCCCACACAGAAACGAGCACCACCGAAGTTATTAATAGCACTGGGAGTTCCCACACAAACAAGACCATCACCAAAGTTATTTATAGCACAAGGAGTTCCCACATAAACATGGCAATCACCAAGACAAACACAACCTTTATTAAAGTTATTTATAGCACAGGGAGTTCCCATACAAACATAGCATTCACCAAGGCTAGTAATGGCACAGCAGAAATTTCTTTAAACGCCATTGTTTGTTTGACTATATGTTTTTTTAGGACATATATCACTTTTTCACATAATTTTTTTTCTCTCTTAAAATTAAATAGATTAAATGTTAGTGTTTTGTAGTGTTTGGTTTTAAAGAATGTTACATATTAGAAAGTTAAAGCTCCCCTGAGCCTAAGGCTAAACTGAGCTAAAGCAATTATATAGTGTCCTCATTTTGTGCTCGCACCTCTCATGAGGCATGGAAGGCAGGCTTAAAAGTGTTGTAGGAAAGAACGTTCCTCTTATCAAATCCATGTGGTAGTAAATTGGGCCACACAGGTGCATGCTTTCCTCCAGAAACAAACGTTTGATAGACTTGCCAACGAAAAAAGTATGTCGTGCTTCCACTCCAGAGGTACTGAATAGATTTTAAACTTTGATGTAAAGCATCCTTATGTCAAGGAGCTTCATGTATCTTAAGAGAGATGAGGTAAATACAAGTAATTATATTCAATTTTCAAAAAGAAATCCCTTAAAGATCAAGTTTCTCAATCTGTAATAAGGCAACACTATAGAATCTACATTTTCAAAGAAAAGAAAAAAAAAATGAAAAAATGCTTTTCCTCTAAAAGTAACCAATGGATTCTAACCGAATTTGGTTAAAATTTCTAAATTAATTTGATTTGGTTACAGAAGAATATTATTTGCAAGGGGGTTTTCACTTCAGTAAATCAGGCTGGTTTCCAAAGGGGATTTATATTGAGGTCATAAAACATGTAATTTTCAACAAAAATACAAGGAGGCTAGCCACCTATAACTACTAAAAAAAAGTTTTACCAAATTGTATGTTAGCTTCCTTTTGAGAAAGGGCTTCAGGCCAAACTAATTTTGAAAATCCATTTCTGATTTAAACCTTCCTCCCCTTCCTAGAGTTCTACTGAGTGAATTCTAGCAGATGAGCTTTAAAGCCTGTTAGGATTTCGCTTTCTTTTGAAGAGATTTATGTTGGAATGGTTCTTTTCCTGATTCTATTTTGTTGTGTGGATGGAAACCTTTTATGTCTGAAGTAAACGTATTTCATAAATGCTGTGATGTAGCTCTGTCAAAAAATGTCTTCCTATATGTTGTAAAGTATGATTAACCTTCGGTGAAAATAGGTTATTTTGTCTGTTATCCTGATAAAATTGTAGGTTACTAAAGCTGATTTCAATTTTCAAAACTATCAATAAAGCCATCTATATGAATATAAAAAACCTGTTAACTTTAATTTGAAAGGAAATTTACAATTCTTTGAGAAAAAATGAAATAAATTATAAAAAATTATCAGCTCAAAGAAATAATGTGATCGTTACTTGGAAGCTTAGGAAATGAAAAGGTTGAAATTTTGTTATTCTGGAGTGGAGATATTTTAAGAGAAAAAGATAAACTTTTGTTCCGGTTCGTTTTGCACCCAATGACCTCTCGTTCCCTACTAATCCAACTAACATGTCCTTTCCCAGGTCGAGGTCGTACAAAAAAATGTCATGGAGTTTAATCTTGAGGACTCTACAACTGGCCGGCTTGGGGTCAGTGAGGGGTCATAGGGCAGGAGGTCGTAGTTCAGAGGCAATATCAAGGTCAGTATTTGATGGTGTCTGGGGTTGATCTTGACTTTCTGGTGTCTTGTTTCCATTGTTGTCTTTATTTTTTTATTTTTTTCCCTCGATATTATTTTGTCGTTTTTATTTCTGTACAGTGGTTACAGATTATAGCAAAAGTATCTCTCCCTATGGAAGTATTTTATTACAATAGTGTAACTCAAATAAGAGAATATTACATTGGCAGACACTTCATCACTCAAATGCCCGCAACCATTTTTATCCTGACAGGACACTATGACACCGTGACAGCATCACTAAAACCTTTTACAACTGGCACAGTAATCATTTCAACTCTTGTCATCACTGTGAATTATGATTCCACTTTGAATGGTCTCTGACCTCTAATCATAGCCAGTTACAATGACAGATCAAACAACGTCAATCACAGATCAAACAACGTCAATCACAGATCATACAACGTCAATCACAGATCAAACAACGTCAATCACAGATCAAACACCGTCAATCACAGATCATACAACGTCAATCACAGATCAAACAACGTCAATCACAGATCATACAACGTCAATCACAGATCATAGTTTCACAGGCTTGTTATTGCGGAAAAGCTGTGATGGCGGTTTTTTAATTTGCTTTACTGTTATATAATTGGGAAGTTGGGTTCGCAGTTTTGTTTGCCTCTTATTATGAGGGAATCACAGTTGTTTTTACCACCTTCCATTTCAGACGATTAGGGTTAACTGGGGCATTGGACACACAAGTCATTATATACTGTATATTAGGAAAGTTTTGCCCTACCCAGATGAAACCCATTTTCGCTCAATGGTAATTTTGCCCGTCACATTTGATAACTATGTTTATTTTATTGTTTACTATTGTTCGCTGTAGTGATCAATTTGCCCTCATTACAGAAAGTGGAAATTAAAGTGCGGGGAACATTTCCCTGTATACAGTAGGTATTGCCATCTGAATAACCCTAGTGATACTAATCACAAATATAATACACAGATAATTCAAAGAAAACCTTTACACCAGAAAAAAAATCCTGTGACTAGAAAAAGGATTGACCGAAAATTAACAATATACAGACATTTATTGTTAGAGGATGTTTAGAGGACAGGTACTCATTACTCCTGAAGCCTGGAACGGAACCCGTACCTACCAGGCCCCAGGGTTCAAACATTGTCAGATGCTCTGTACCCCACAGACTGGGTCAGGTTAACTGATTCACCCCTCAACTTTCATAATGAACTATTCCAACCTTTGAGTTGGAAGAGTTCAAATGTGTGTTCAGGGGTGAATGAGTTTATAATTCTTAGTTAAAATTAATTCATAGGTAACCAAGGAAACTTGAGCAATTTTGATATTAGTACTTAAATTGTTTTGTGTTTGTTGCAGATTCAGTAACGGTATCTGGATATATAGATGCTGATAACCCCCCAAAAACAGAAGTGAGCAGCTCCCCGCCACATGTACCAGACACGCCTATTTCTAGGACAGGGTCACAGGTCTACAGGAAGGTCAGAGGTGACATGTGTGTGCTGTGAGGACCGTCCTGTGTGTTGGGCCCAGGACGTCGTGGACACCATTACCTATATTGACAGTGTACTGTACGAAGTCATCACACCATCACAATCATCTTTATACCAATGTTTTATTTTGACCGTTTCAAATGCATAAACCATCGCTTACATAACAGAAATCATGCCAGATTGCCGAGTTGTTCAGGAACTCTCTGATGGAAGGCGGCAATTATTATGCAGAATGGAATTTCAATGATTTTCCAAACCAAAGATGTCAATCTATCTTGATCAAATTTGTTGCAATGATTAAGAAAATTTCCAATCCGACCTTTTTTTAATGAAATGTTAATATATAATGTCAGTACCGGACCTCGAACAAGGAAAATTGATCCTAAAAAAGCTCTGTGCTCAGGTCAAAGGGCATGGCTGGGTGACAGGATTGAAGCCTTAAGGATTTGGATAATTGTGAAGGGTTCAGGTGCCAGGACGTCATCAGTGTTACTTTTAAGCATCACACTTCTGGGATTTCATTAATCAACAACTTTGAAATAATACAGACCTTTGACAGTTCAGCCCTTTCCCTCTGGATTCCGTCCATGGAATTCCACTAGGAGGGGTTTGGTTGTCTTCAGGACCAGACACGTGCTGATAGGGTTTGGTTCGCAGGAGCTGGCTCGCGTTGGCAGATCCCCGGAACAGGCATTCGTGCAATTTTCTTATGATGTTCAAACCGAGGAGTGAAAATATTATAACGGACAGGAATTATTTGACAGATGTGTTTTGTTGATTCTATGTGAGGACTGTTTGTACAGAGGTATATATACACTTATAAAACGTGATAATAATTGATGGTTAAACTGATATAGGGTTTTAAGCATCATCCTATTTTAACCTTGTATTCATGAATTGTAGATTATTTTTAAGTTATAACTTTTCAACATGTTATAATTTTTAGCCATTATTTAAAGCTGTTGGTGATTGTTTTAAGGTTAGGATTTTAATTTTAAGCCCTGTCAAAGTTCAATCACAAAGTAACTGATTTTGAATTGTAAATTATTTTATGTTATATTCTAATATGTTGTAATATAACTAATTTATTGACATATCTGCAATGGGATGGCCATGAGGAACATTTATATCTCAAGGTTTTAAAACGGGACAGAACGGCCATCTTTTTATATCAAGAAATTGGGTTGGAAAGCAAGGAATAGAACATTTGAAATATTGCTATAGGTCTTTCATCATTAGTAGTTTTAAATGCTTTTAGATAATTAATTCCTCTTAATTTAATTTTTATGACTCAGTAAAACTTGCTAGTGTTTGCTTATCAGCTTTGTTTCTGAAAAAATCATTTTAATTCCCATCCTCAATTTAAAGAACTCCTATCAAGGGCTTTGTGCAAATGTAGAATCTTCTTATCATGGTTTTAATAGGAAAAGAGATATTTTTATCCAATTTATTAATAGTATATAATGTTTGTTCAATTCTTTGACAAGCCTTGGTGTCACTGATCAGTATTCGGCACTTTATATCCTCATCCCGCGCTCGTTTTATTTCAATATAATTGTTTTACCATTTATTTCAGTTGTTAACTGCTCTGTATCTGTGAATGCCAATATTTCGTATTTAAATTCTGTTTTATGATTTGTGTTTTGTTTGTTTTTGACATAGCTGTTTTTCACTATGTCCCAACCTGTCCTTTGACACTAGAAGTATTCGAGGCATATTGTTGCGTATAGTATACCATCCAGTGATACAGTTTGTTCTATTTGTTTAGCTGTGGGGCAAGAGTTAACTCCCTTCATTAGCAGTGGAGCAGGAGCTAGTTCCATTTATTAGCAATAGAGAAAGGTTTGATTCCCTTTTGACAGTGGGACAAGAGTTCTTTCCCTTTGTTTCATGTATTCTTGCCTCTTGCTGCCCAGAAACTGTTTTGGAAGTTAAGTGTCTTGATTGAATGAGTTCAAAAAAATGCGGGAATGCAAGCCTCCACAAAACATCTGTAATTTTCAGATAGAATGAATGCAAGGGAAAAAACAGATAGAAATGTGTTATCCAATGTTATATGTGTGTGTTTTAAATTGTAGTGAAGTGGTCCTATACACTTCCATGTTAATTTGAATTTAAACAGTTAAGACAAGGCGGGTTAGCCTAAAATCTGAGTGAAGACGTATATGTGACTTTGTGTTGCTAGTCAGAAAAAGTACTCCCAACCATGTATCAGAGCTTAGCCTGATAACATAGAGTAACTCTCTTTTTGTTTTAACAAAGGGTAAGAGTTCTCTTTGTTTACCAGGATACAGTGAATAAAACAGTGTTCAGCCTATTTGTTACTAACTGGAGTAAAACAGTGTTCAGCCTCTTTGTTACTAACTGGAGTAAAACAGTGTTCAGCCTATTTGTTACCAACTGGAGTAAAACAGTGTTCAGCCTATTTGTTACTAACTCGAGTAAAACAGCTTGTTTCCATTGGTAGTCTTTCTCCATAGCTTGTGATATATCATTTTATTGTTTAAATATATTTGTTTGGAGAGAGGATCATTAGTTTGAAAATTGGACAAATAAAATACACGATTAACGAATATAATGAGACCTTTCTGTTTCTGAGTGTATGTTTAGATTGCAGCAGTTATTTTGTGGTACTGATAATGAGTTTTTCCTGTAAGTTGAACTATTGTATCCACTCTGTCCCCCCCTCTCAGCTTCGAATAGACTAGTCTATAGCTTCCCTCTCAGCTGTGAGTAGGCTAGTCCGAGTTGTGGGAGATGTTATTTTGTGTGTAGGGATGGTAGATAATGCCAGCATAGATAAGGTATACCTGGAGTGTGTTGGCCCATTTGTGAATAGCACATTCTCATCACATATAATACCTATGTACATGTGTTATTGACAGATGTTGAACATGTGTTGCACTGAAGCGCACCAGCAACATACCTCAAGTAAAGCAGTACTCGCTGTAGACTATGTTCAATATGTATTTAAACAAACTGATTTTGCTGTTTGAAAGATACAGAGATCTCCTCAGAGATAAAAAAAAATAAAAGTATTTTTATTAAAATGTACAGATACTAATAATAATGTTGATTTACATTGAAGAGGTATATTTGAGTTGATGATCAACCTCTCGTCCCTCTAATCTCTGGAATAGACAAGTCCATTTACATTAGAGAGTAATAACATTGCCATCCCTCTGATTGCTGGTATAGACCAGTCCAAATAAACTAGAGGGTAATACCATTGTCACCTCTCACTTAGTGCTGGAATAGACCAGTCCATGAAAACCAGAGGGTTACATCATAACACCCCTACTGATCGCTGGAATAGACCAGTCCATTTACATCAAAGGGTAATAATAACATTGCCACCTCTCTGATCACAGGAATGAAACAGTCCATTTACATGTGAGGTTAATGACATTGTATTATATCTCTGGTATGGACCTGTTTAGAACATATTCTTTGTGGGAGGTAGCTATAGCTAGGATTGAAACAGAACTTTATGTAAAATCATCCATACAGCCTCATTCCACTGTTGTAACTGTGCCAGATTTTAAGGATGGGATATTTCTAATAAATTAAAATTTCAGGAATTTATAGTCTCGTTTTGTTTATTGCTCTGTAAAAAATATTGGTTTCCTGTAAAATATAATTGTTTTCTGTTAAATATAATTGTTTCCTGTAAAATGGAATTATTTCCTGTAAATGGTATTACTTCCTGTAATATGAAATGGTTTCCTGTAAAATATAGTTGTTTCCTGTAAAATGAAACTATATCCTGTAAAATATAATTGTTCCTGTTAAATATAATTATTGCCACTGTTTCTCTAAAATAGAACTGTTTCTTGTATAATGTAGTTAATATAATTGTTTCCACTTTTTCCTGAAAAATATAACCGTGACCATTAAAATAACTTTCCTGTAAAATGTAATTATTTCCTGTAAATTATAAGTGTTCAGTGTTTTTAACTACCTTACATATTATCTTTGAGACGTTTTTTAAATTTAATCTGACCATTAACAATACTAGTCATTGGGGGGAGGGGTGGGAATAAAGATAAGACTGGAAGAAATTTTAATGAGTTCATTAAAAATAAATCGAGGAAGGAAATGTGAACAGGGCAGAACAACATACATTTACATAGAAAAAATAGGTTTATTCCGAACTCCAATGCTTGAATGGTATATCGAGTTAATAAAGAACGATGTAGTTTAATGGGATTTTTTTGGACAGAAGAACGCATATACTGTAAGTCATTATTCTGGAATAAAGACATTGTCATCCGACCTGCTGATCGACCGTTTGTTAAAAGTGAATGGTTGTCATTTTTGCTCTGAAAGACGGCTTCAATGAACTGAAAAGAACAAAAAATCATCCAGTCAATCAAATTATGAGATGGTTTATGATCCCACAAATACTGATTTTAATAATTCATTGCTGTAAAGAAACAATCGGGTTGTCACCATATGCTTGGATTCTTAAACACAGGCAGACAAAAGCAACTCAAATTTACATTTAAGGACAGCCTCCCTGTGTGCCAGATGCATGCGTGCGTGTAGTGTATACATGTGTGTTTTGGGAGGCTGCGATATGTTTGTGTTTGATGCCGACTTTATAGTGCTACCTCACTGAAACATACTGCCGAAGACTCCCAGCAGGACACCCGGTCACATTATACTGACAACGGGCGAACCAGTCGTCCCATTCCTAAAGTGCTGTGCGTTAAGCAGGAGTAGAAACTACCATTTTTTATAGACTCTGGTATGTCTCGGCCAGGGGACAGAACCCAAAGCCTTCCTCACAGGGGCGAACGCTCAACTAAAGGCCGAAAGTGAGGCATTGTCAAGGGAGACATTAGGAAGAAGAAAGATATTTAGAAAGAAGAATTTAGTCGCCTCTTACGAACATGCAATGGTGACAGCAGGTACAATTCTTACGCCCCACATGCAGGGACAAAGAAGCTTTGGACTGTAGATCAACTTTTACCTTACCTTCAGATAATATGGACTGCAACCACAGTGAAATATAAGGTCGAACTCTGATGAAGCAATGAATTCATGGGTACATCTCGAGAAAGGACAGTTGCATGAAGATATGTGTGAAACCAACAAACAATCGTATATCAAAAGAAGTGATACCCTACCCATGTCGAGGGGAGACTGACATACAGTTCAGAAATGAGGATAAACCCATATGCAGCAGGGACTGGATACTTTGGAAAATAACATGAATTCAAAAGGCAATCACAAAATTAGAGACAGCGGGAAAGAAGATGAGGCCCAAATGAAAAGAGTGGCTACCATTGACAGGATAAAGCTTTTAATGCACCGAGGAAAGAAGAGAATGTTAATATTCTCACCCATACTTAACTATCTTAGGAATGTAATGGAAACATCAAAGTATCTTATACAAATGTATTCGGCGAGCCACATTTTATATCATATGGGCGAGACCAGATCGTAAGTTAGAACACAATGCATTTTAAGACCAACAGTGCTGTAAATACCAAATCCCAAAATGAAAAATATCGCCGAGTATATGGTACGTTTAAAGAGTCTGCATATTATCCTATACATAATTCCATGTTTACCATCACGAAGAATGTGGTTTCCTGCTTTTTGTTGTGTCACCACTGCTTATTTGAACCATTCGGTAAATAAAGTCTGAAAAGGATATTTCTTGCTGGTCACGCTTTACTCGTCTGGTGTGTTTCCCCTGTCGCATCTGGTTGTTTGCCCTGCATCTGGTGTGAGGGTTGGTCGACGATTCAAAACGATGTGGGAATCCATGGGAACCTACTTCTATTTGGAATAACCAGGTCTTCTATCCTCGTGACTGGCAGGTTTCCTTAGCTCCAAATACTTAGAGCTTTTGGTCTCGTGGGCTTCATTGCATCTCTCTTACCAAGGCACATGTCAGGGATATTTGTGATACATATTGCCATGTAAACACCTCACATACGGTGATACTTTTTATTACAAAATGCCACAAAAACCATATAAATATAATTAACAAATATTTTTGTATTCAAAACAGCGTTTGTGTATGGTAGAATATATACGTGCGACACGTATACATTCTAGCATACACAAACGCTGTTTAAATAAGTCTGTTTATATGCAAGTTCATATTTTACTGTTTTCGTCGAAAAAGTATTAAAATACCGAATATTAGTTACAATAAAAAAGGAAAAGAAATGTTATCTTATGGAGAATATTTTGTAGGTATTTAGTCCGTAAAAAATGACCTATATCAAGATTCAGGATGCTTGTCTAAAACAATAAAATACAGAGTTAAATTAGTATAATATGATTCTATCCTTAAAAAAGTAGTTTTGCTCATACAGCAGCGTTTTCAAACAAAAAATATAAATATGTGATTAATTGAGTCCTGCACACGCACATGCATGGAAACAAAATACCTTTATGTTTTGTTAATCTTTTGGTTGAATCGTTGGTTCAATTTTAATTGATAATTTTGTCTCCAGTTTCTTTGTTTTTGATATTTTTTTCGGCGTTTTATAAAACAACATATTTTGGCTGGAAAAACATCACAATTTAGATCAACAGAAAAAAAGGAAGTTTAACAGAGTTTCAAGTGATCTTACTTTGAATCGTCTTCATTCTTCCATTGCAATGCATTGAGAAGACAAATGTTGTTGTGAGTCTATAACAACATTTGCTACTGTAACGTCATCAATCTCTTTTGTGATATGATCAATTTCATTGTTGTCAGCACTTAATTTGCTGTTCAAAGAACTGTTTGAAATAACCAAATAAATCATAGCTACTCTATCAAAATGTAAATATAAATAATGAATATTTTAGCAAATATTATTTTGGATCTATAACATACATTTCTTTTGCTGACAGACTTGCATTATGCCCTACCAGGCTTTTATTAAGTTTGTTATCAATAGCAATGTGTGTTATAGGACCATAACAGCATTTGCTAGACCATTCATTGCTTAATTGTATTTTATCGGAAATATTTATATAAAGTATCCGCATTGAAGTGAAGCGGGGTTCTGAGGTTTCGTCTTGATATCTGTCACGTTCCCATCTGGCAATGTGCCGCAGTGGGAAACCAAGCAAACCTGCGAGCCCTAATGTTCCTCCAGAGAAGCAAAAGGCAGCGTTGTAGCTCTCGGTCAGATCTGACGAGGCTCCTGTAAAAACAGATCAAATATGTAAACGAATGTGTAAAATGCATAAAACGTTATTCAATATGTTTACGATGATGAGTTAGAAAAAGAATCCCATGCTTGACTAGGAGCGAATTTTTATTCTGATAAAAACCGCACAGAAATACGGAAAAACAAAGTTAAATTAATGGCCATCAAGGTAGGTTGTACAAACAACTTGCACTATATTATAACCACTGTCACTATTGTAAAATATTCGTTCAAGACCTTTACAAAGGGAATATTTCATAAAAATCATACGTTGCCATGCAATTAACAGAACTGTAGTAGTTGGAAATTTAAATGTTTGATATTTGAAAACAAGAAAAATACAGGGGTCGAACTCATAACCTTCACATTATTAAGCCTTCACTTCAGCATACCACTTTTCCAAACAGGAATTACAACAGCAGAATGAGTGTCCAATTGATGGGAGACAAAGCTATTGAAAAAGACATGACATGAATGTTACTCTAAGCCAGAAAAAAACTCCTTTAGGTTGCTTCATCTTCTAGAGAAGAGAAGACCAAAAAAATCATAAAAAAGTGGAAAAAGAAAAATCAACCAGACAAATTTCACAAATTGTAAAATCTACAACGTAAACAAACTCGAGTTTAACAATATGCATTAAATTCATTACCATATATCATTTTTGTGCATGTCACATTTCGCCATACAATGATAGCATTTCATCTCAAATTAAATTTGTATTAGCAATGTATATTTTTTGTGTACCTTTTAAATCCGCTGTCAATGGCAGTGTCAATTTCCAAGCGTAAATTATCAGTGATGTCGCTAAAAAAGAAAAAAACATGGAATTAAAGCAATGTATGTATCAAATCAATAGAAAAAAAAGGTGACAACAAAACGAAAGAAAAACTGCGACTAATTCGAAAAAGACGGGAACAGAGGACATATCGAAACGAAAGGGAAAAAAGGTAGGAACTGAGGAAAATTCAAAACAAAGAAAATTCAGCAGGGACTGAGGTAATACTACTGTGAAAGGAACGGGGTAGACAGAATAAAGGAGTCAAAAGGACAAGCAACAGGAGCTTGGGAGACGACGAAGCAGAAAGGCGAGAAAATAAGAACTAATGAGGAAAAATAGAACTGAGGAGATGTGAGAAAATGAACTAAAACTTGGGTACATTAAAAAACGGAAGCTAAGCCTCAACAAAACCAACGAAATAATGAACAAAGACGAGACTCCGATCCTGTGATCACAATTAACAACTTAAATGTCATAATGTATTGTAAACAATGAATACATCTTTACCCGTGACATACAATGACATCCCATAATATATCATACACAGTGAATATGTCTTTAAGTATGACATACGACGACATCCCATAATATATCATACTCGGTGAATACGGTTTTACTCATAAAATACAAAAACATCTTATA